ACTTATACCCTATATAACAAGTCATCATTTTTCTTGTTAAAGGTTAATACTAATTATACATTTTCATTAAGAATTCATTGAATGCTTATACCAAGTATAGCTTGTTATTATTATTTTATTAAGTATTAATGTTAATTACATCTTCCCATTAAAAATTTATTGTTACTATTAAAAGAAGCTTGTTAAAATTAAAATTACTCACCACTTATTTAATATCAACCATGCTATAAAATAAATTAATTGAATTAACCATACTATCTATTGAAAGTAAACTAATAAAATTATTTGATTACAAAATTTTGTTATCTAATTTTGCTGCTCAAAAAGCTAAAAAATAATAAAAAATTAAATCTTTTAAATAATTTTGCTTTAAGCTTCAAAACATTTCACACGGCATTGCGCCTAGTAGAGTTTTGAAATAATATATGTTATTCTTTTTATTATAATAAATATTTTATTATTTCTATCATTATAAACTATTTTCTATTAGAGTAAGTGTTTATAAATTCGAGTTTTAACCAATTACCATTTTATTGAAGAAAAACTGGTCAAAAATTTTAAAGTGTTACACTTATTATTGCAAAGTGAATATGAAGGAAAGAGGGTGTCTTTCATTTTCCTTTCTTTCATTTCCTTTCATTTTTCTCCCATCACCTTTGGATTAAACCTTTTTAATGGTTTAGATTTAATTTTTTTAAAAATTTTTATTTTAATTTTATATAAAATATATAAATAAAATATTATAGTTTTAAATTTATTTATATATCTTTTTATAAAATAAAATAATAATTTTATTAAAATTTCAATCTGAACTATTAAATTTTTGATTCAAAAGTAACGAGAGAGAAATGAAGGAAAATAAAGGAAAGGGAAATGGAGGCACCTCTTCTGTAACGTGAAACTGACCGCACCTGATTTCCTGTTCCCCTTATCTTCGCCCCCCACCCCCTTTTCTGGCCTGAATACACCTTATAGCTGCACTGAAACATGGTTAAATATAGGAATATTTTTTTTGGCCAGTGGAAATTGATAAGAATATACTTTAAATCATAATAATATAAATTTTTTAATTATCTGTAAATAACTAGAATATGCCCCGTCTAGAACATGAGAGGGATTTCAAATTTTTTACTGATTAAAAATAATTTTAAAAAATTAAAATACGACAAAGTCCAATATGTACAATAAAGTGGATGGAAACCTCTCTTGTATATATATTCATATTATTTTTAGTTATTTAAATTATTAATGTATGTGAAGAACGTGTTGTTTTGTAACAATATGTAGATAATGTCTTTCATAATTTTTAAATTCATCCAGATATTTTTAATATATCAATTCAGTTCTCAATGATAAACTTTCATTTAATATATTTGATATGAAACATAAATTTTTCAAACTTATTCAGATTTGTCCCAATTACTAGCTATAACTTTACCTAGCACTCATAGCTGCTCTATTTCTTCTGTTCAATAATAAGACAATTGCTTGGTACAGTTCTGCATGGTCGTTAGATGATTTTAATTTATTTTATTTCCCCATAGCTACTGCAGTTATTTAATTTTTCTTTTTCTTTCACTTTAATGTATATATCTGTCCACTTGGTTTTATTTTTTGAAAAAAAGACAACATTTGCAATGGGATAAAGATTACCATTGCATGGCTACAATAATCAATAGGTTGAACCCAATGGCCTTTTAATAACTAATCCCATAATTTAAAATTTTGACAAACCATACTATAAATAATATAACCAATTCCCTTTGAAAGGCCACCCGACGGTACGACTTTGTGACACACTGACATCTATTGTCGCTTTCGGCAAAAATCCGAAATATAAATATATGGTCCCTACCCGCTAGGCCTACGTCATGCTTTTTAATTTCTATTGCCATTTTATATATTTTTTTATATTTTATTATATCATTGATATTTGTTCTCTAACATCTTTTTCTTTTTTTCTTTTTGGACGAAATTCTCTAAACGCCTAATGAAGATGTTCATTCGTTACACGGCTTGAACGCGGAGAGGTGAGCACCTAGGCCCACGTTGTCTGCCACCTCCGACCTGGTCGCTCCTTGTCAAGGCTCTAGGGGGTGTCAAGTTGGATTTGGAGTTTCCCCACTCTTATCCTCTCCATTTTCATATCCTCACCATTCATTAATTTTATTATTTAAAAAATTTATTTAATAAAATAATTTAAACAGTAAAGATTAAAAAAATGGAGAGAAAAAAATAGAGAGAATCTCTCCTATGTCAAGTCATGTCAAAATATTATTATTAACATTTTATTAAATATTGATGATATATTATTAAATATTATAATTTGTTTTTATCTTTATATATGATAAAAACACACAGTCAGTGTCCAGATAATGTTCAGTCCCAACCAAAATTTCTAGTTGATAGTTAAGATTACGTAATTGTTTGGATATTTATTGAGAATTAATTTTGAGATTAAAATTATGATTTTGTAAAAATTTATCCAAACACCCTCATTTTACAAAACTCCATTTGATTTGAAAAACTTATTTAAAAAATTTGAAATTTTTTCATTTGCAAAACTTCATTTGGCTCATTTTCTTTATATCATTTATTTACACATTCAAAATTGATTCTCAACAAATCATCCAAACATATTCAATTCATCAAAATTAATTTCTAAAAATTTATTCAAATATCATCACATTTTAATAATTAATTTTTTCTAATTGAAATTCAAACACACCTTGTGTTTCCGGTGTTGCTATGTAAATAAAACATACATTTACATTTTATATTATTTATCTGTCCGTGACTTTCTTCGCCGTCTTTCTCCTAGAAATTTCAACAGCATATTGTCGGAAATTTTCATGATAGGGACCTGGAAGGGCTTTGTTTGGGTAGCGTACATGAGGAGTTCAGGTGGCTCCTTCGTGTCGTTTATATACCTTTTTTTTTTTAAATATTTTTTTTAAAATTATAATATAACGTACGAACTCTACGTAGTTTTATTCTATTATTCTTGATCGATCCTCAGAGTTTTGATGATCTCATGAAGTGTGAATAGACGTTTTACATATTTTTAATTAACGTGACTAAAAATAAAATCTTAGAGTTCTGATAACAAGTGCCAAGATTCATAATTTATAAAACTCTGATGTTCATAAACTGTAAATAAATATATTTTTTCCTAAAATTCCATATGATCAAACAAAAGGTTGGATTTTTAAAGAATCATTAATCACCCCACCTCATCATTTACAAATAAGATTAAATCCTATGTTGTCGGTTAGTAATGTAATAAAACCTCTTCAAAAGTAGAAGCCCACACTATATACGGAGTTGGTTTTTCTTCGCTGAGGGAAATCCTCCTCTGCACCCTTTATGGGAGGTGTAGATTTGAATTGTTATAATCTATATTTTATGTATTTATTTTTATTTTAAATTTATTAAAATAAAAAAATTGTATATCTATTCATGTTAAATCTTCACTGTTCATACTAAAAACTAAATTTTTAATTTTTTTACAATTTATATAATTTTTTTATTTTTTAGAAATAAAAATAAAAAAACATTAAATTTGTACAGTGGAGGGCTTCCTCAAGGCCTCAACTTCACGACAAACTACCAACAAAATGCGACATTTGACTGATATTTCTCAGGAGTTAGAAGTAAATTATGATTTTACAAAAGGTTTTAAAAAAAAAACCCTCACGATTTCGCATCAAATACATGATGTTAAAACAAACCAGATAAAATCTGTATAATTATAATATTCATACAAGTATTTTTTTTTAAAAAATGGTCTCTATTTATAAATTATTATTTTAAACTTAGCTTATAAGACAATATTAATTGATCATTTTAATTATATTTTATTCACACTAATTATGAGAATAACATATACTCTTATTTAAATCAAGCCCAATTAAATAGCATAACTTTTAATATGATAAAGACTATATTTTTAAAAAATTATGATCCCCAATTTACACTATTATGACAACTTTTTTCTCATCTAATCACATAATTATTCCATCACTGGAATGAATTAAGAGTTATGCTGGGCGAAACCAAGTGTATGTCCACCCCTTGAATATTACTAGGGGACTATTTGAGGGTGATGGCCTAATGAGAAATGATGCTTTTGGGCATAATTTCGATTAAAGAAAACCTCCCCACAGCAACTCACACAATGCTAATACAGTAATACTGACACGCATATATGTTCATGTATATATTTTTTTGGCTATTGCTTTACTTTCTTTGTTAAAAAAATATAAGATATTTTTAATTAAATTCACTCTTAATAAAATAATTATCTATTTTTAATTAATCATATTTTTTTATATTTACTCTTATTAAATACCTTACAATAAATATAAAGTTATCATTAATAGGGGCACTTTTGAAAAAAAAAACAATGATTACATCTTAAAAGATTAAAAATGTCTTGTATTTTTGAACATCCAACTTTTTAAAAAATGTCTTACATTTTTTAGCGGAGAGAGTAGTATATTAAATAGAAACAAATTTTATATATTTTTACTATTGGTTCAAAATTAATATTAGTTATTCATTTTGGTTTAAAATATTTTTATCTTATACTTTGTTTACATTATAAGATTATTTTAATGAAATATTTATTTAAAAATAAAAAGCTAACAATATATTATACATAATGTTTTTCTATAACCCCCCCCCCCAAAAAAAAAAAAAACTTACGGGGAAACTGTCCGTGCCCTGGTTCCGCCCGAGACTGATCTGCATTAATATTCTTATTCTGAAGAGCCAATATTTAATATGACAAAATATATGATATATAACATGAAAATTGAAATTAATCAGAACTGAAACAATGAAATCTAAGTATACAACTAGGTTTTCATTTCTTTTTAGCCACTGATCCATTTTCTATCCACTCAATTCCTTCGTTTCCATTTTCCCAGGGAAAAGACTTCGGTCTACCTGGTGATGATCCTGGGACCAAGCAAATTTCAGATTGGATCAAGAGCGCCTTAAAGATCTTTCCAAACATTAACGTCTGTACTTGAACTATTATGCTGATCAGTCACGTTATCTTGGCATCGTATGAAGAAAGTGCTCCGAATATGATCAATGTTCACCAGGGCGTGGGCTGAACCACTTGGACTCGCAGCAATAGCAATTTCATCTCCACCAACGATCACTTGAGCGTACCCCTTCTCACCCACCTTCTTGTTCTCCAACTGCGCATTCAGTTTGCTGATCATTTTTAATGAGAAATTGATACAAGAATTAGCAGTGATCAAAGAGAACCGCTTCAAAAATTTTATACATGCACACAGTATATTGAGAGACATTCAGCTTGTACCCGTATTGATTGACCCACAGTATATATATATTATTTTTTATTTCAAAAATATACATTAAAGTGAAATGTAGCTAGGATACATCTTACCCTAAATTTTGTTGTAGCACCCCAAAAGAGAAGCGTCTCGTTGCGATCGTGGTGTCTGTGATTTCCTCTCAACCTGCCGGGTCGTATTTCCCCAACAGAAACCGAAGCACAAGAGACAGCTCCTCCTGTGGAAAAGCATATTCTTCATTCCTCCACAAAATGTACGTACTTTCTTTTCTATACCAATATTACAGAAGAGTCATGCATGCACAAACCTGAAATGCCAGAAGATGGAGCGAGAGAAACGGGATGGAGCAACCAGCCACGACTGTCTTTGGCAATCTGGGAAGCAATGCCAGAGCTGAACCTGACTAAATTGGCCTTCAGATCGTCCTCGGAACTCCATTCGAAATCAGGAGCGCGATCGGCAGCGTGATGCAATCGGATGACGAGCCAAGTGATGAAGAGGAAGAAGATGCAAACCAAGGGAACAGAATGAGGCTTGTGAAGGAACTGTATGAAAGCGGCAAGAGAAGAGCTAGGTCGCATCTGGTAGGGATAAGGATTATCGTAATAAGGGGAGCCATTGATGTACACGATCCTCCCAGGGGTCGCCATCATTGTTGTGCTATCCCATTCTGTTTGGGCTCTCATCTTTCTGCTTCATGATGATCAGTCTCAAGTTTCTGAGCTGTGTTTATCTGCTGTACTTTGTCGTTAGCGACATGGTTACTCGGCTTGAGGAGATGGCGTGGCGTTCGCCTGGTCTGACAACTAGGTTCCAGTGACCTCACCAGCCCCATATATCGTGTGTCCGGCCAGGCTAAATTTAGCGCCTTCCATAACTTGCTATCTTAACCGGTGCCTTGCACGCCACCTACTGGATTAAACTTTTCAGTCATCTTAATTAAAAGGAAAAAGGGCAGAAAAATTCTTGTGATAATTTGATTCATGAAATATTATAATTACAGTGAGATCTCAAAGAATTTTTTTGATATTAAATTTATTTATAAAATTATTTTAATGCCCTTCTATAATTTAGAAAGTTCTGATATTTTTAAATTGTTTTAGTTATTGGTAGAATTAAACTTGCAAATACTTGTATCAAATTTATAAACGATATAAAATTAATTGAATTTTGATGATAGAAATTTGTGATTTTTTAAATCATTTTAATCACCAATAAAACAAACTTGCAAATACTTATATGAAATTTATAAATCATATAAAATTAGCAGTATTTTGCTCATTAAAGAAAATTACTAATAAAAAATTATGATTTTCTAAATTATTTTAGTTATTGGTGAAATCAAACTTATGAATATTTATACCAAACTTGTGAATTATATAAAATTAATTTTAGAGGAATAATAATGTATTTTTATACAAAAATTTAATTTTAAAAAAGTTCTTTAAAACCTTACTGTTATTATTACATTTCGTGAGACACATTTTATTTTTCTATTTTAAAGAAATTTATTTTTCATTCTCCCCAACTAAAATCAGAAATAAGCTATAATTCAAGAAAGAATAGGTGACGAGTAAAAAGGTACGTAAATTTTGTAATTTGAGATTGAGATACGATTGTTCAATAAAATTTTTTTATTTCTCACACATTTAATCTTTATAAAGTTGAAAACTGTTAAGAAATATTTTAAAATTTCATGTCTTGAAAAAAGAATTTCTCCATAGAATTTATGGTATTTATCATTTCATCACCGAGGATGATAGATATTCCAAGTTTTTCAGCGTGACTGAAAAAGAAAACAAAAAATATTTTCACAAAAACATAGTTTTGATTTTTTTTTAAATGTAATTTGTGGGATTTTTCAACTGAACTTCGGGCCACGAATCAAGAGCCTCTTTTCTGGTAACCGGAAGGGCCCAAGACCCAAGTTGAAAAACAAACCAAAAGCCTTTTAAGCAAACAATCAATTAAATAACAAACCGGCTTCCATCGAGGCAGAGAATTAACGGATAAACCGATAAGGGCGCTTGCAGAAGTGCAAGATTCTCTCTCAGCGACTATCGTCAGGAAACAAGCCTGCTCAGGTAATTCATTTCCCTTCCATTCTTGCTCAAGTTTTTTGAACTCATGCTTTCATTTTAAACGCATTTGCGGATAACACTATTTTTGGGGGGTCTTTTGTAGTTTTCTCGGTTTTCGACCGAAATTGACCTCTTCATGCGGATTACTTGTATTGATTATATATATATATATATATATAGTTAGTTTTACAGCCTTCAATGCAAATGTTTAGTATTTGTCCGTTGAAGTGGTGCTTCGGGTCACTCAGTGAGCGGGGATTGAGGGAAAGTGACAAGTCGTTAATTTCTTTGTTGCACTTGGTTTACATTTTTTTTTTTAAATTTTCATGGATAACATGGTTAATATACATTGATTATTTTGTTTGGGTTTCTGGCTTCCTGTTTATTAGCATATTGACCGGAGTTTGTTGGAGGGAATTTGAAAATATACTGGATTTCTGTTTTTGTTTCTTTTGTTAGGAGAATGGGATCTCAAGCAATCCGTGAGTGGGCAGGAATCAGTACATTTGCGCCAGCTACGCAGACAAAGTTACTTGAATTGCTGGGAAAACTTAAACAGGAGGTTTTTATTTTTCCTTCAAATTCATGCACTCTTCAAGACAATAACTCGTGCATATGCGTTATATTTCAAGAATGCACAACTGTCCGCGGTTGTTTGATTATGCTTTATAATTTCTTTTGTTTGTAAGAAGTTTCTTTCTTTTATTTGAACTTCTTGCGTGATTGTAGAATGTGAACACTTTGACCATACTTGTGATGGGAAAAGGTGGTGTTGGAAAATCTTCAATAGTGAACTCCATCATTGGCGAAAAAGTCGTTTCTATTAGTCCTTTTCAGGTATTAAATTAGTTGGTTTCCTCCTATTTATACTCAGTCTTTGTAGCTTCTTGTCTATTTACGTATCAGTAAAGTAAATTGTTTCATTCTTGACAAGTCGGAAGGACCAAGACCTGTGATGGTATCACGATCAAGAGCAGGATTTACATTAAACATTATTGACACTCCTGGTCTCATAGAAGGTGGATACATCAATATTATGGCACTGGACATCATAAAAAGGTATGTCATGTGAAGCATATTTATGTCGCATCACTTGTAAAGTATATTTATGGTTTAATTGGAATTATATAAGGTCCTTTCTCCTCACACACTTCAGTTTCTTTACATTGGATATGGGTTTGCGTGAGTAGTTTCCTTTTGAACAAGACCATCGATGTGCTGCTTTATGTGGACCGTTTGGATGCGTATAGAGTGGATAACTTGGATAAGTTGGTATCCAAGGCTATCACAGATAGTTTTGGCAAAGGAATATGGAAGAAAGCAATAATAGCACTCACACATGCTCAGTTTTCACCACCAGATGAACTGCCTTATGATGAATTCTCATCCAGAAGATCAGAGGCTCTCTTGAAAGTTGTTAAATTGGGTTCCCGGATAAAGAAAGATGTCTCTCAGGTATGTTGCTGCATTTCAGGATTTAAGTTCTGCAATCTGGTCCTCTAAATCACGTGTGTTTATACGTGGTACAATTTCAATTGGTTTAAGGACATCTGAAGTTAAATTATCCCCGTTTTTGAAACTGAGCTTTTAATGGCAAAGGCAAACGTTGGCCTTCCCTTACGTTGATTTTGTATTACTCAAGGGCACCCCTTCATCTAAAAATCTGTTTGCTTGGGTTTTAATGATAGACACTGGGCTAAGTTGTACAGGTATGCCTTCACATTTTGGTGCGGTTTCTAAGTTAAAGGAAAAAGCTTTCTGGTACTGGGCTATGTATGCTGTCGTGGTGTATTTGGCTGGTGCAAAATGTATGGATTCTCGAGGAGAGATTTTAAAAATCAAAATTCTACCTGCTTACTTGCGCGTTTTAATTATTGAGAAATTCACCTTTGGATTTCTCCTTTTCAACCTTGAAGGATTCTACCATTCCTGTTGCGTTGGTTGAGAACAGTGGGAGATGCAAGAAGAATGAGAGTGATGAAAAGGTTAGACATTTATCTCATGATGCTTCCTTGTATCCTCTTCCACCTCATTGATCTGAGCATGGGTTGTATTGTAATTGATCGAGGGTGGGCGCTTTTCATGGTGACAGGTGCTTCCAAATGGAACTGCCTGGATTCCTCAATTAGTCCAAACAATCACAGAAGTTGCATTGAACGGAAGTGAGTCAATTCATGTTGACCAGAAGTTGATTGATGGGCCAAATCCAAATCAGAGAGGAAAGTTGTGGATCCCACTCATTTTTGTGCTGCAAGTAAGCATTTTGAATTTAGGGGCTTTTCTAGTTTTCTCTGTATATTGAATATTGACAGATAGATTAATAAACTCTTCTTTTGATCCGCCTGTGATCAGTATATATTCATCATGAAACCCATCGAAGCATTTATCAAGAAGGATATTGCAAACGAGAGTAGGCCATCATGGGAGATGGATGAGTGATGCAGATTTTCGCAGAAACGATCTACTTTTAGCTGTGTTCCTTTTTCTCTCATGAAGTTTAGGGGGTAATTTTTTTGGTCTCATCTAGTTTAAATTCATGTAGCTTCCAGTACTCGGGATTTATTGACTGACCATCTGTTTATGGAATCAACTTACTGGTTTCTCGTTAGATTATGATTGATTGACAATGCTCCTTGATCGAAAAGTGACGGAAGTGATTACGCTGACCGGTACGAAGATAATCAGAAGCTTGGGGTTGGGCTGTGGTGTTCTTAAACTGAACTTATATACTTAATTCTATATATAATATATTTATTTTCAGCTAAAACAATATATATATATATATATATCTTATAAATTATTTATATTATAATAAATTCTTATTATTTATATTATTAAACACCTTAAAGTCTACATGTGTTATTTTGAATGGATAAAAATCATAAAACATATTAAGTATTTAAAGTTAACTATACAAGTCTTGCCCTTTAATGAAAAGGAAAAAATGCAAGGTTTAAATCCGCATAGTTTAACATTTAACTACAATATTTAAAATGTCAATTGTTGTAATATATATATATATATATATATATCATTTAGTTAACTGAAATTAATGTGGTGTTTGAACTAATCATCATCAATTCATCGCACGAGCCAAGCCATGAAGAGTGCATACAAATTGTTTTTTTTAAACATATTTTATTAGGTTAAAATATACTTTTAATCCTTTAAAATTATATAAAATTTTCATTTAATTTTTTAATTTTATAAAATATCTTTTTAATTCTTTAACCTTAATATTATTAGCTTTAAATGATTATTTTTTATATCAATCATTGTCATTTTGAAAATAATTAAACTTAATATGTTAATATTTAAAAATATTTTATCAATATTTAAAAATGTAATGTAAACATTTATTAAGATAAAACTAATAGTTAAAGGATTAAAAAAAACACTTTATAAAGTTAAAAAAGAAGGAGGAGGAGGGGAGTTAGGCCGAAGCACTAATAATTATTATCGTTTTCTCTCAAATCGCCACTTGTACACCGGTCCTGATGTTGGATAGGCAATCTCCTCTTCATGTAGCTTCCGTTTCCGACCCTTTTTCTGTTAAAAAAAAAAAAAAATGTTCTTTAAGCATAATAGGGATAGAAACAAAAACAAATTCAGAATAAAATATAACAAAATGGAAAATACCTGGAGCTCCTTCTGCATGACCATATCATTGTAGATTCTCTCCAGTTGACTCAGCCTTTTCTTCCTTTCTTCCAACTCCCTCTAAAGGGCAGCGGTTCGCCTGAACATTAAAAAAAAAAAAAAAAAGACATTACTATTACTGATTACTCTAATAGCAACAAATCATGTCAATAAAATTTAAAAAAAAAACAAAAAGGAATTGAAAGAAAAAAGAAAAATTTGACTCAATAAATCTTATTTTCCAAGTCAATAAATCTTATTTTCCACTTTTTGTACAGTGGTACCTCTCATCAGGAACGTCATTTGACTCAAGATTCTTCCTTCCCTTAATTTGTGACTTCATCTCTATAGCTTCTAGCCTATATAAATATGGAAAATAGATGACAAAAAAGGATCCATACAATTTAATAATAAATGTAAATAACGAATATACACCTGCAATCATACAGACCCAAATAAAGACTTCCCTTAATCATAATTATTAAAAATTAATAAAACCTGATAAAAAGAACAAAGATAGTAAACCTCCTTTTTTTCGTGTGACAAGGCATAGACCTTTCCAAAATCTTATGTTTTAGATTACACTGAAGGTTCTCTTGCTCTTTTCTTTCCCGTTATAACATGAAGAGTTTAATGTGGATAATGGAAATAGACTTTAAAACAACTTTAAACTAATTTTCTATTCCCCAGTTGGCCAATATATCTGTCTTACCGAACACAAATCTCAAATACAAGCAATTCCCCACCTCTTAGTTTATAAGGAAACAATATGAATCTCAAAAATGCATACAAGTCTCTAGGCTAGAGTGGTCAATAGTTTCAAATTCCTAACAGTTACGTTAATCAATGATATTGCCTACTCTTAAATCAAGTAAAATGCATTGAGCTAAACTTGGATTGGGTTATCAGGCTACAATAAGGAAGAAAAGAAAAGATCGAGTTAACAGAAAAACTAAGAAATAAGGAATTTTTCATAAAATTTACAAGGAGCTTCCATTCAATATCAAAAGTCAGTAAAACATAAGAGACAATGCTCTTGAAACACGTATAACTGAACGGAACAAATATTAAACCCAATAAATAAAGATAAAAGACACTTGTCCAGCTATGCGTGCTTGTTATTGAAATGGGAGCACTGGGGGGAGCCACATACACTTAAAGGGGGCATATACACCCTCTCAACCTGGAGAAAATTATAAATGAGTAATAAAGATTTTACAATTTTACCTTCACCGGTAACAAAATTTTGAACCTTTTGAAATTTAGGCCCTTTTTTTTGTAAATGTTTTAAATGAAGTTTAGTTATGAATTCACTAAATCCAAAACTCTAATATAATCTTTAGAAAAGAACATACTTATTTATTTAATTTTTTTAAATCTCTGGTTAATTATTATATATTTTTATATATAAATAATATCATAAATTAGTGACTTATATGGAAGGAAATATTTTTAATAGTATTTAATAATAAGTAGGGGACAATTATAAAATATATGATTATATTAAAAAATATTAAATAATTTTTTTTTTGAATCACTATATTTAAAATTAATTCGCATCCTGATGCAAGGTTCTGGCTCCACCAGTGAATGGGAGCTCATACCTGTCCTCAGTAAGGTAAACATGCGCTGACCGTTGGTTATCAACAAAAGTGTAGTGAAGCAGTTAGCTTTTCAACTTTCTGCATGCAAAAATTCATAATTAAGCCCCCATGACCATGACAATTCCAATCAAATTCTTAATAACACGAAAACATTCCACCACATTGATCTGCCTTTTTCTCGCTCCTAACTTTTTGAAGAACATATCCTTTATCTTGGGTCTTCATCAACATAAGTTCTGCTTGGGTATATTTATCCGCTTCCCTCCTACAGGAAAAAAAAGCTATCAAGTTAATTCGACTCACTAACTAATTCGGAACAAGTTACTGAAAAAAGCTATAGAACAATCATAAAGTGAGCTATATCCTACTCGGGTCTATGAACTCTATCAACCACTTTTGTTCTGATTATTTCGAAATAAAACTCATCTGGGATCCTGAATTCTGCTTTATCCTTAAGTTTCTGTAGGGCAAACATAGAAAAATCATTAAGCATAAGTAGTTAGTAACTGAAGCTAGTTAAGTCCATTATTGCTGCTAATGACCGACTTAACAAGATTCTCATCAAACTAAATCTTACAAGGGAGTAAGAAGGCAGCTATGGTGATTATTAGTAATCACAATTGTTAAATTCTAATTCTCAGACAATTTTCCTATTCTTTCTATTTCCATTATTCCTATTTTTTCATAGGGGAAGAAGTGGAAAAGGTGCTCACCTTTTGGAGTCAAACTGAAGGTGGCGCCCTGCACATCATCAGAGGTGGACCTCTTTAGTGCCTCACAAGTGCTTTTGACCACACTAGATAAACTCATGATTCTCTACACTCTGAAATGGTCAAGCTGACAAAAACAAGGGCCATTTGGTACAATGGAAATGATTTTTATGAAAATGGAAATAGATATAGACATGGAGATGAATATGAAATTGGAAATGGATATGAAGTATAAAAATACGTTTGGTACAACCATGGAAATAAGAAAAAAATATTGAACTCAAAACAATAGCCCCTCTTCATCGGAACCACCATCATCCACAACTGGAAATCACCGCCATCAATCTTCCAGTCTCCGCTACCATCAGAACAACAACCAACCTTCCAGAGAACCACCATCGAGATCACAGGGTAGGGAACAATAATTAATCGTTCAGAACCATCATCCACTTCCAAACACCAAGGGGCAGAAATCGAAATCGAACCCTTTACTCGAAATTGAAATCGAAATCAAAGGAGGAACAAGACTATCATCGTGATTGGTCCAAGGGTTGGCCGTCAAAGGAATTACTAGATCAGAGACCGCCGTTGCCATTGTTGTTGCTGGAGGAGGCCACCTCACCATCATTCACCTAATCATCGGAGAAGAAGGGGAGGAAGACGGAGAAACTTTGTTGTCACTAGAAGCCACCATTACCATTGCCGGAGGAGACCATCATCATCGTTGCTGGAGGAGGCCCCCTCACTATCATTCATCTGGTCATTGCCTCATTGAAGAAGAAAAGAATGAAGAAGGTAATGGGAGGAGAAGGGGATCTTGTTTTGGGTTTCAAAAGGAAAGGGACAAAATAGTCTAAAAATATTACTAATGGTGGCATAATGGTGATCCAGATATCACTTCCATATAGATGTGAAAATTCCACGGTCCCCCTCATGGAAGCCAATTCCATCAATCTTGAAGGAATTGATTTCCATATAGAAGCCTAATTCAACCATACCAAACATGCAAAGACGTGGATTTCAATTCCATTTCCATCCCCATCCTTAAAATTCTAGTGAACCAAACAGGGTCTAAATTGATCATTCAAGGTGTTGGCAAGAGGTTCAAAAGGAAGTTGCAAGGAAGGGAAATTAGAAGAGAAGCGTTTCTTATTCCTTTACACGAGTCTGAGAAGGCTTTTAAAATACAATGGCTAAAATCAATATGATAGGGGCTGTTTGCTTTACTGAACTTCCTATGCTGTTCTGATACAGAAGGAAGTTGTTGAAGATGCTATATGGCTCCAGTTTTATGATTTTCAATGAATACACACTAATTTTTGTTCTAGTGATAGCCACTCGAGGTCAAGTGTTTTTCGGAGGAGGTAGAGGTTATTGTTAGGCATAAGTAGTTAGTAATTGAGTTTGGTTTGCATAGAGATTAGAAGGAGCGAGTGACTTGAAGTAACTGACCCTTATAATACAAGAATTATTAAGAAAGTAGCTAGCTATGACGGGCGCCTAGATGCCTGCACATCTATATCTAATCTGGACTGTATCACGAAGGTCAAGTCATGTTAACAAATTTCCAAAATTATTATTTTCTCTCTATCTTCATGTTCATTCTATTTCTAGTCTCTTTCCCTTACCACAAAGATAAGCATCAACGCAGTTAGACCAGTCATGCAAAATCAGAACTTGAACAAAAAAACTGTTTCGCAGATTGTACCTGTAAAGTCTCCTCTTTCTTGTGGAATGCTTTTGCACGGACGACATAGTTTTTGTGCTTTTCAAGGTGGTCAATTTTTTTCCTCGAGGACCAGATAAAATTGCAAACAAACCCACAAATCCAAACAAGCCAAGAGCTATCGAATCCATTTTGTAAGGGAAGACAAACGGGGAATTTCGTAAACTTACGGTTGAGCACGCTCTTTGTGAGCTCGTCTGGGAATGGCGTTCGTGAAGGAAAACATATTCAAGTAGGGAGAAGCTGCAACAGACTGAGCTCAGTGTAAAGGTAACTTAAAGCTGCGGCAGTTGCGGCAGAGATTATTCAATCGCGTGAGGGGGCTGGGCCGTGACCGTGAGTCCGTGAGATAGGAGCTGAAGAACGCAGCATGGATAAGAAAGAAAGGCACCACCAGCGTCCAGGATCAATCTTTTTTCTTTTGGCGTAGTAGAGGAAAACGACAATGAAAAAACCTAAGCCCAATCACCAAAAAAGTTCTGATATCTTGACATATAAGAATATACATAATTACATATTACATTGAAAAATTACAAAAATTATTACAACGTCTCCTTTTCAATCTTCATATATTACAAATTACAAATGCACAGAACAAATTTTATTAAAAGTTATTTCCTTTATAATCTTATTAATGAAACATATTAAAAATATTTTATAAATAAAATATAGAAGTGTTTTTTTTATTAAAGTCAATCCTATGATCAAAATCAGACAATTAATGTAATCAGAAAAATTTAAACGAGTATTTAAATTTGTCATGTTGTAAAAAAATAATCTCTTTAACAAACCAATCCTGTTGGTACTAAATTTTTAATTTCATGTGTTACTTATCTAATTTTCCCTTTCGCCTCGTTTGTCATTTCCATTTTCTATTCGTCATCTTTCACTCCCTCCAAATGGGGCGCTTATCTCCGGCTAGGACAAATAGCACAGGGAAAGCAACGTGGGATGTGGGACCCACCTCTTAGTTTCGTCCATTTAAACGCCGCCGTCTATTCAACTCCCCGCTGGGGTTTCTAATGGAATTCTCTCTCCCTGAAGTCCAATCATTTCCTGCGAGACAAAAAGAGCTCTCATACACACCAACGAATCTCAATCCCAATCCCCCAAACTTCACCGGAAAATTCCTTTTTCTCCCCTAGATTCCCTTCCTCCCCGGCCAACCCTCAATTTCTCTTCCCCCATTTTCAACGCCTGAAACATACTCTTTACCACTTCGGAGCTGCCCCGCTTCGTTAATTGATCACTTTCCGATCCTGACTTCTCCGGTTCTGTCGGTCTCTTCGTCCCTATACGTGTTTCTGGATTGAAGTATGAGTGCTCCTAGGTCTTCCGGAGGTTGTGTATCTGTTGTCTTACCATCTCTCCGTTCGGATTCTGTGGTCTAATCTCAAGTTTGGGGGTAAGATTGTAGCGAAGTGGTGTCTGGTGCTTTTTGTTGAAATTCTCGTGAAAATCTTTCCCTTTATGATGCGGATTATAGCATCCAATAAAATTTGCCAAAGATTTTTCTTTCTTTCTTTCCCAAAAGATGTAGTTAATATCAACTTGGTTATCGAAGGCTATGTGCAAGGCTTCTATGTCACTCCATGTATAGAGGGTATTCTTATTGTTACACTAGGCAGTGAGGTTGCCCTAATTTAACGATTTAATTTTATTGTTTCTGAACCAAAAGTTATTCCTCCTTTTTTTTTAACACTGTAGTCAGTATAATTATGTATCACGCAAAGAAGTTTCCCCCGGGCACTGTCGTCCCAAATAAAGCTCAAGGTGGTGCTGAGCAGCTTGCAAGTATACCGGATTTGAGTGTACCTGCAGTAAAAAATGCCACACCTGTGGGAGGAAGTGGAAAACAACGATTAAGGTGGACGTCAGATCTTCATGACCGGTTTGTGGATGCCATTACGCAACTGGGTGGACCAGATAGTGGGTATCTCTTATGAGTATTGTATTATCACATCTTTGGGATGATGAACAATTTGTTGTTAGCATCAGATATAAATTCGTCAAAGTCACTACTTTTTTTATTAGTTAATTATAATCTTCGGGAAAACCTGTACGAATGAGAATGTTTTGAAGGAAATATTTGCTGTTCTTCTGATTTCTCCCCATTATGGATCTACTGTGGCGCCAAGCCTTGCACTTAACATAAGTCAGTCGGAGCATGTATGGTATATGCTTGCACCACTTAGTGCAACATATCAAAGATGGTTTTTCCTTTTCTTGAAGTTTTGATAGTTCAATTCCTTAACTTTTGGAAGTTTTTGACGTATTGGTAGATCTTAATTGCACACTTATTGACGACACCATGTTGCACTTCATGGGACACAAAATGGTTATTTAATTTTTTTTTTTCATGGTAAATGCAGATTGAATCGTTTATATTAACTTTGTCATAAATGGCTCTTAAATTATGCTTCTTTTTAAACTCCGTTCACCTTCAAAATCTTATTTTTCTGGAATGGCTTAATGCAATTTCTCTTTTATTGATCAGAATCTTCAGATCAATAATTGAAGGGTTTACATTCCACTGTGAGCCAATTGTTAGCCATTTAGGTCTTCTAACTACTCCTGGTTGCTTTTTCTATCTTGTGGGTGAAGTCAATTTGAAGTAGATTCTATGCTATTAATTGCTACTCATTTGCCTTTTCCCTTTACTTCTTTAGCGGGTTGATCTGCTTCAGATTAGCACATTTTCTGAAGTTGTGATTTCTCTCGTGATATTCCATTTATTCCTAACAGGGGCGACTCCAAAAGGTGTTCTGAGGGTTATGGGCGTACCTGGACTCACAATTTATCATGTGAAAAGCCATTTACAGGTAGTGTCACCAAATCAACCATTGTAGGTATACAGGCACATGAAATGCCCGTTTGTTTATTTTAAAACTGATTTTAATTTTTCTCTGTCGTTACACTGTGCAGAAATACCGCCTTGCAAAGTACCTGCCGGAGTCTTCGGCTGATGGTGAAGTGTTTTTTTTTCTTTCTTTTGGCCTTATCTTTATTCTGAGAGGGATAATATCTACTAAAAATATAATTGCATTTTCATTTCTTGCTAATTTGAAGGTCTGAGAATTCTCTTCTTGAATTTCAGAGTCTAAGGATGAGAAAAGGAATTCTGGAGACACTGTATCTGGCACAGATTCTTCCCCGTGGGTATCTCTGTGTTCAATTGTTAATTATACTTTCTAAAATGTCTCTTTGCTTTCAACTCGTTGCACCTCTGCTGGTAACAATTTATAGAACCTACATGGCCTTCAGGGGATTGCAAATCAGTGATGCTCTGAGGATGCAGATGGAGGTTCAGAAACGTCTCCATGAACAGCTAGAGGTTTGGTACCTTTCCTTACTCTTTCCTATTGCCTAAATTTGAAGACTTTGATTAATCCAGCAAGCCGTTTTAGTTTTTCCCCCTTCTGTTTTTGTATAGGAAGATTAGAAATAGATGTTGACTGAAAGAACAGAAGAGCTGGGGAAAAAAAGATAATACAGACTGAAGTTGAAAATGGGAAACAGGCATAAATCAAATAGAGTGAGCAGTGGCAAAAATTTCCTGAAACTCCCTGTTGTTAGCATGGATAGCTCCTCTTTTATTTCTGCTCATCAATTAAAAAAAGGAAAACAGTTTCTATTATTGTGGTCAGGTTGGATTGAGGTCCCTGTTGTTTTTTTTTTTATTTTTTATTAAGGAATCAATCATTGGAATTGTGGTCAACTTTGGCCACATTCCCTACTGTTACTAAAACATCATTGCCACGACACATTCATCTCCAAGGACCTTGATCAACTTAACCATAAATCCAAGAGCTAATTCTTTGATGAAAAACTATAGGGACCTTGACCCAAATTCACCAAAACTCTGGGAACTAAAAGCTGTATTGTCCCATAAAAAATATCTTGTAGATTGGGGGGGAAATCATGTTGATAAAGCTACCCCTATTCAATGTTTGATAATGGTTAGATTTGGATTAGTAATATTGAATACTAGATTGTTATTGTTAAAATATATATATATATATAGACTATTTCTGTAACCTATTTATGCTTTGTTGTTTAGAAGGGGATATTCCACCTCATCCTAGCTTGTAGGTTTATAATTTCATAACACGGTGGATGTGCATCGCTACTCTGGTTATAATTTAAGGGTCTCATAAATTCTGTCAAGCCGCCATGTGATATTGTCATACATGAATTGGTCGCATACACAACTCATTTTGAATGTTCATGCTTCATAGCCATGGAGTTGGATCTCTCTGGGTTTTAAGAAGTTTGAGCATGTCGAATGTATGTTAAAGAGGAAAAAGCATTCGTATGATTGGTTGAAACTTGAGTTCCAGTTATACATTAAGCTTATCAGTAAACATGATTAGTCCAGATGCAATGTGAATGGCCTTCTTCATTCACCTCATTTCCTAATCATTCCGTTATGGTGATAGGTTGAAAAGAAATACTTCTTCAGTATTTATCTTTAAAATCATTTGTCTTTCTTTTAAGTATACATACCGTATATTTTTTGTTTGATCAGCAAGTTATGCGCTAACATGCTGGTGGGATATCAAACTTATCAGATTTTTGGTATAACATCAGATTTTTGGTATAACCATGTGAGACTTCTGATTTATGTGCCATTTTAAGACTAGTGTCATATTGTGTAATGAAGATGCATGCTGCATTTGAGATTTCATAGCCTTGTGACTCTTGAATCCCATCTATCAGTTGTGAAAAAAGCGACATGGCTGCTAACGATGATTCCTTTTGATTTGCTTCAATAAAATTCCAGGTTCAAAAGCAGTTACAAATGAGGATTGAAGCACAGGGTAAATACTTGCAGAAGATCATAGAGGAGCAGCAGAAACTAGGTAATACCTTGAGAGCTTCGGAAACAATACCATCTTCAAAAGACGAGCAAGATCCTTCGCAGTCAGAACCTTCAGGTGATGCCTCAGCAGAGACACAGTCCCCGTTGAAGAAACAGAGAATTAATGATGGCTTCGAGAATGTCATCAGGACCCTCCCAGCTGCCAACAAAGATTGCACAGAAGATTGATTTCATTGTCAGTGATTTAGAGTTCGTTCAGAAGCTGGATTCAAAAAGGATGGAAAAGGGGGGGGGTTAGTATGGAGTAGGTCCCATTTGCAACTCAACACTGGGTTTGTCATACCTGTTGTATTTTTATGGTAGAAGATACAAAACAAAAAACATGCTTATGTACGCAATCCACTTGTATATATGTTGTAGGTGTAACTGGTAATAGTCAATCCATTCTTCTCCTGTTGTAGCTGGTGAGAGTTGGGAAAACTGCTCTCACGCGCAATAGGAATGCATCGACATTTGACAGTGATCGTGCATGCGGCTGCTGAATTGTTGGAGGCAGGATGCTTAATAATTGTTCTGTTAATTTGCTGCACTTGGCAATATCAAAAGGACAGCGACGGCGAGATTAACGTTTTTCATAGGTAATGATATGTATAAGGGGGAAGCTATTGCCTTTTAATCGGGGGAAAAACAATGACGAAGTTAAGAAGAGACACGTCTGGTGAGATTGTTGTGGATTTAGTAGAGTGAAAAGGTGAACAATGGGGTGTTGTCTTGCATGCTAGTAGGGCCACAAGTATAGCCGTATCTGGTGTCAAATTTTATTAAAAGATGGATCATACCTTCATTTCCTTTATGAATATGTCAACAGGTCGTCTTTTCTCTTCCTCCACACTTGAGTACTGTAACTTGTTTATTTATAATAATAACAATAACAAGTCTTATTTTACTTAAATTTTCTCATTTCAGTACTGTAACACGAGGGATAAATCCAATTAGATACAAAAGTGGGTAAAATGAACATTTATTCAGCTAAAGGACTAAACTGCTCCGAGATGTGCTTTCCAGAAACGATATATATGGGTAATTGTATCCAGAAAGAACAAAGAAACGATGCATAATACTTTCAGAAATAGTCAGAAATTATGCATAATACTTTCACAAATGGTCGGGGAATAAAGTTGTTCAGGAGGGAAACAAGATTAAAACAAGCAAGCAGTGCCCCCCCCCCCCCCCAAAAAAAAGATAAAAAGAAATTGTAGCTGTGTAACACTATAAGTCGTATGAATGGCGAAAATCCCCTCCCTGTCCTTTTGTGGGTCAGATTTTTCATGCAGATCTAATTTAGACATCTAAGATTCAGAGTTTTAAATTTATCAATATTTGTTGATAAATTCATTTTTTTTAAAAAATGAAAGTTAAAAGATTATATTTATTTAAATTTTATATCTATGAAAACAATAATTAAAATATAAAAGTAAAAAAAAATCTAATCTAGACCATCTCGTACTAATTTGAAAAATCCAAATTTCATTTGCTCAATCACGAGAGATAATTCCTCCTATTCTAGAAACTCCTTTCCTGCATAGCAAATGTGAACTTTTTGGCAAGTATGGATATTTATCAAAATTCTAAGTTAAAGGGCAATTTTATATCCATTAAAAATTATTAAAAATACAAAAGTAAAAAAATGTCAAATCTAAACCATTCAGTATTGATTTAAACGACTTAGATTTCATTCGCTTTGCGAGCACAGAAGATAATTCCTCCATTTCTAGAAACTCCTCTCCTCTGTAACAAATGTGAATTTTCTGGTAAGTATTGGCATTTGTCAAAATTCTTTGGCTTAAAAGACAAATGTATTCTAAAAGTTTTTCGCCAAATGCAATTGATATTTTTCACTTTCAATTGGTGCAAAGTTACTCCAAAAATTTCAAAGATGATGCAATATCTCTCTATAATAAATGTGACTAACATTGATCGTTATTTTGAGTGTTAATAGGCACTTTTTACTCGAAAGTTTGTTTGAACGAATAATTTTATCTTAGACTTTTGATTGATGTAATGTTTTTGGGTGATTAACTTTTAATTTTTTTGGGACAAATTTTAACTTTCAATCAAAACAAAGATTTAATAATTTAAAATCAAAAGAAGACTTTTGGCTGAATTAAGCTAAACGCTTCTAAATCCAAATCTAGGCTAATCTTTGTTGTTCATGAACAGGTCTGAACAAGTTTGTATTTAAGTATGTGCAAGCCGAGACATGCTCATATGAGCAAGATAAGGGAAAGTCTAGACTTTAAAGAATATGTGGAGTGTTTTAGGTAGAGTTAATTTTGTGTTTAAGTAATCTCGGGTAAAACCTCACATCAAAATCTAGAAATAACAACCATTTTTAACAACAATAATGGATTGTTAGAATTTTCTTATGATTTGATCAATGATAACTCAAAAACATTACTTTAATTAAAAGTTTAGGATATTAATTGCTCTTTTAAAAAAGCTTCTAGAGTAAAATTACTCTTTAATCTTAATAAGAATTTTCAACGAACAATCAAAATTGGTCAAACATTGCTTTAAGATAAAATTGCACCCTTTTTATTTTAAATTTTTAGACCAATATTGCCCCAATCAAAAGTTAAGAATACCAATTAAATATAGTAAAAAAAAACTTCTAAGAAAAATTTTCCCTTTAACCAAAATTGTCTATTCACATTTGCCAAAATTATTTTTCCTAAGGCATACATTAATTTCAACAAAAGATACTTTTTTATTAAACATTTATAGACAAAAATCTAAGTATGCATTTGGATATCCATCATTGTATATATATATATATATATATAAGTAGGATTAAAAACTATAAGAGAATGTCACGTATTTATTTTTAGGTTTGTTGCAATTCTGTGATTTGAGATACCTTTCCTACAATTCTGTGCTTTAGAGTCATGTTTGAGATTAGGTTTGGGATGATTTATCATTTTTTAATGTATACAAAATATATTATTCAATTTTAGAGTTAGGTGTGGGATAAATTATTAATTTTATATGCATATAAAAATTCATTTTTACCTATTTAAAATTCAAATATGATCATATTTAAATTTAAATTAATATCTATTTATTTTAAAATTTAGAAAAAATAATCTCTATTTAAAATTTCCATCTGTCATCATCATTTTTAAAAATTTTTATCTATCCTGAAGATTTGCTGAAAATCAAGGTTCATATGATTGTGAGTGTATTTATCTATTTGAATTTAAATTTAAATTAATATATATATATATATATATATAAATGTTTTGAAAAAATAATTTGTGTTTGAATATTTAGATTTATTCTCATGATTTCAAAAAATTTGTATCATATAATAAAATATAGATATCTATTTATTTAAAGTCAAATTAAGATCAATCTATCTAAATATTTAATATGCAATTATGGGTTTAAAAATAGTAAAATACATATTTTTTATAAATAAGGAAATGTATATTATCAATTATTTACATTTAAAAATATTAATTTTAATTGTTTGATATAAATATTTAGTATTGCATGGTTTGAAAATATTAACTTCGTTTAGGATTTACAATATATATATATATGGTAAGTGATAATTGATTTTTGAATTCAAATTAATTTGGGATCACTTTAGATATCTATCATTACAAAAATTAGTATTTAATATATATCATGATTTTAAAAAATCTCCCCTTCATTTTCCCTCTCAATTCAAAATTATTCAATTATAAATTACTAGGCTAAGCAATATCACATTTTACAATTCTACGTCCACTCACTTTTATAATCATATTAGGTTTATTCTCCTATCAACTATTATTATATTATTCATGACTTCTACATTTGAGATCTATACAATACAATGAAAAAGAATTGGCATATTTTTGTAGTCATTTGGAAGCTTTTTTTTCTTAATGTTTTAGAGATAGGTTGCATCTATTTAAGAATGTGAAATTTTAAAATTTAGGATCTCCCAATGCTTTGGATTGTATTAGATAACAAATCATTCATATAAGATTAGCTTCATATACTTAACTACTGTGAAGCTGCATCCTAAGACAAGTTCTATCCATTGTTTTAGGTTTAAATTTGTCAATATTTTAGATATTGTATATAGAGAGGCAATGAATGATAATTACTTAGTGGGTATGTTATTAAACTTTCTAAATTTTTTATTCAAAAACTTTATTTAGCACAATTAAGATAATATTTTATCTTAAACTTTTCCTATCTATTTGAAAACTTTATTTAATGCCCTTATATAATACCTTATTTATTTAGAAACTTTTCCTATCTTAAACTTTGTTTTTTCACTTTATTTAATGAAATATATATGTAGCATTATACTTTATTTGTATGAAACATGTTAAGTTAGACTTGTTATGTTGGAGAGATGTGGATATGATGGAAATATGAAGGTTAAATAAGTAAACGTTGTTTATAATCACAGCAAGTCTATTTGTACTTTATGTATTATTTTCACCAAAATATGCATACTCAATGCTTTCATATGAAAACATGGGCTCATCAAATATGGTTTGGATTTTATATTTTATTAATATAATTTAAATTTTAAATATAATATATGTAATATATGTTTATTTTTATAACAGTTTTTTGATAATAGGATATACTTAATGTGAATTTTATTCTATGTAATTTCAAATTTTCAAACCATAATATGATATTCAGTTAATGTTAATTTTATTAATAACTAATATATGTTTATTTTCACAAAAGCTTATTCATTTATTTTACATTAATTTGAATTAATTTTTTAGAATTAATTTATATTATACTACTTATAAATAACTAAGGTTGCTAATGTTGCATTTCATATGTCCTTGAATTTGACCAATGGCTATAACCTCTTCAATTTTATTTTGCTACCAAGTATTCTCCAATTTATTTTTTATGCTCCTTGTTTTGTTAGATATTGTTTAAAGTTTAATTTATCTATTTTCTTATTTGCAATATGTGTATCTTAAATTTTCATATTATCTATAGCTTTAACACATGATATTCACATAATTCGTACTATCAACACAACGAAAAAAGAGTGGCATATTGTGATTTAAGTGATTTGTATTTAAAGAATGCCAAATAAAAATGCATTTAAGAACTCAAATAGTATTGAATTAGTGTTTCACTAAATCAAGAAACTAATGACAAAAATTAAAAATAAAAAGGACTATAAAAATTAGGATATATTTTAAAAAATATTTTTTATCTATACATTCCAAAAATTTTTATTTCACAGTCTTTTATGCAATTCTATGCTTCAAGAGTTAAGTTTAATTGTTGATTGGCGGGTAGTTTTTTGTTTGACCTTTTAATTATTATTTATATAAAATAAAAAAGTTGTTAATGATATAATTTGAATATTTGAGATTCAAATTTGGTCACTTGAATATTCTTATGAGCTCCTAACCGAACATCACTTCAGTATATGTTATCAACTTATTTTATATAATCTAGAAATGATTTCAAATGTTAAAATTTAAATGAAACTTGATAAGATTCAATATATGTGATTATTTATGTCAAATATAATCAAATTTCAATATTTATGCATGCCATTTCCAAATTTAAAATTGATAGCTTATTAACTTAAAAACCATATAATCAAAATAAAATGCATGCTTAGAATAATTTTTTAATCAATCCCATAATCTTCGAACCAATTTAAAATGGATTAAACGTTAAATTTTAATTTTATTTTCTTTTAATCTGTTTCAATAAATCTTACATGTTTCAAATTAAAAAAAATAATTATCTAATCTGCACATATAAAAAACATCATCTAATTACATAATATAAATAAGCTTTTTAAATTCAAATCTCTTGAGACTAACTTCAAAATTGTTATCAGCTCAAATACAAATACAAATTTATTTTATATTCTAATTTATTTTATTTAATTAATCATACAAAGTAAAAATGTCATAATTATTCTACCTTCTAAATGACACCAGTTTTAATAATTAAGAAATAACGTATTAGTTCAAATGATCACTCAAGTGTAACAACAACATTATTTAAAAAAGGTACGAGATTACACAATTATAATCTAATGCCATATATCTAATATCTATGTAATATATAGTTGTATACTATATCATATGGAAATAAAAAGGCATATGAAATTTTTGCTATTTAATATATTATATATAAGTTTGGTTTTCTCCTTTGTGCTTTTTATTTCACTTAATTTTTTTAATGTTCTTCAATTTTTTATTTTCCTTAATTTAAACAATCCTATTTGAACATTAATTCATTTTATGTTGTTAATTTATTTTATATAATTATAAAGTATCGTGATTTGAATTTTAATTGTTTAGATTTGGATGGAGATCCATAATATCCAATATCTCATAATTAAAGGGAAGGATATTGATTATTGTGAAAAGAGCAATTAAATATCTAAACTATGCAATTAGTCAGGTAGGTAGTAATTTTAAACTTTAAAAATCTAAACTATACAATTAATCAATGGGGGTGATTTTGACCTTTTATTTTAACGTCTAACAAATAAAAGAAGAAAAAAAATTATGTTATTATTCAGGAAAATGTCTTTAGGTTTAAAATCCAAGCATATTCGATAACTAAATTAAATTGGCAATTTAAATTCAAAATTTTCTCTAGTGAAGATACTATGCCAATTATAAATTAATAAACATGAGTTTGGCCATGATTTCATTTCATGATTCAAGCTTGAATTAATTCTATCATTTATGAGTTTATCGTGTAGATAGGTGCATCTTAAATTCCTAATTATCATTCAATCCTATCATGTATTTATGTTGGTAATATTTATTTAGTCTTTCATTTGTTTACATCAAATCTACCTTAACGTTTCTTCTTCTATCGATTTTTATTCTATAAAAAAATGATAAATTTATTATTAAATAATAATAGTTGTGTTATATTTCAAATCTCAATTGGGAGAGATGTCCAATTTTATTTCCTAACATAAGATTGTCTCCAATAAAGAAAATACTTGTGAGCAATTAAAAAGTATTTAAAAATATTTAATATCATTATCATATCCATTATGTAGTGGTTTGTTTGAGACATTAATAATTAAATGAAGAAAAGTTGTTAGTGAGCATTATTTAGAATTTTTATTAATTAGTTGAATTTATAAGATTATATTTCTTCATGTGTCATACCTAATATAAATTACTTTATCATTATCATAAAAAATATTAAAAATCAATATATTATTTTAATTCAAAATATTAATTTTTTTCTAAAATAATACATAATCATTGAGTTCTTATAATTTAAAAATATTATTTTTTAAGAGAAAATAATTATAGATGGAGATAGTATATAAAATTTATTTGTTATTTTAAATTTATTTGATAATGATCATGTTTCTAAAAGAAGACCAAACTTATATTTTATATCAAGTTGGTTGGTTCCAATCTTAATGCATAAAGATCAAGAATCGAGTTGATAACTAACCCAGTATTGTTAGTGACAAAACTAAAAAATTTAAAATATAAGTACAATATAGTAACATACATATACATATATATTTTTTGAAAAATGACAAATAAATTTCTTTAAAATAAGTAAATGACAAAATAGTATTGCAAAATGGAGTAATTTTGTTAATAATTATGTTTCTAACACTCTACAAAATAGTAGACAACGTAATTGTTAAAACTTAAGTTAAAGTTGTCAATAACAAAGGTAAAATTGTTAATATAATAAATATATTTGTTATTGGATGACTGAATTGAAGTTATGACCATATTATTAATACTTAAACTAAAATTGTTAATTACTATATTGAAGTTGTTAATATAGCATAAGGCTCTAATGACACATAAGTTTTGTTTCAAAGCTCTTAACATATGTTTAAAGGATATTTTAAAATTAAATGACCATTAATTGACTATCTTTCCCTTTAAAGGAAAAGTTATTATGTTTCGTTGAGATTTTAAGCAAATTTTTCATGTTATTCCAAGTAGGTTGAGAGATGATTTTTTTTCTTGCCACCATTAACCCTTCGTACATATAAGATAATTGTCAACTCCTTAAACTAATAAGAAACATATGACTTCTAGCAACAAATACTAGGGCATCTATTAGTGTTCTTTAATATTTTGCATACTAGATTATCAATTGATGATTGGATTGCTATTAGAATTAATGAAAGATCTATGAATATTAAGATCCCCACTGAATTTATTATTGGAAGGTTTGGATAACCTAATAAAATCCATCATCGATTCAGCTTTTTTGGATTATCCTTAACAATGTCTATAATTCTTTGAATCTTAGAGATATGGCTATATTAACTCCTATTTTGACTAGGATTAAAGAAGCAAATAGGTATATGTTGTCCCCACTTTTTAGTGATGAAGTTGTGTACTTGAGCTTTGATGGTGTTGTAAAAGATAATGGGGACATATATTTACTTAATGGCATGTACTCTACAAATTTTCTAAACGTTATGTTGGTTTGTGCTTGTCTCATCCTGTTCTCACCCCACGATCAATTATATGATATTGTTTCTCATGTTTGAAGTAGGAATTAAGGGTTTGAAAATATTAATTCTTAATAAGGATGGTTATTTGCAGATAAAACTTCTAATACCACTTATAGAGAAATCTTTGGCAATTTGATTTAACAAATTATAAATTTTTGTTAATTTATTTTCCATCGTATTCATTTACACAGTGTGCATTTAATTTCTATCATTTACTTTACTCTAATATACATATTTAATATTCATGGCAATAATTATATAATCCCACTACATATAAGATGATATGGAGATCAAAAGTATTTGTTACAAGTTATTCTTTTAAGAAACATCTTCCTACAAGATTAACAATTCTTCACAAAAATTGTAATATAAAATTCATGCATTGCACGAGTAGTTTACTAGTTAGATTAATATGATTAATTTTGAATGTAATTTATTATATTATGTGATATAATTAATTTATAAAATTGATCAATAAGATTAATTTTAAGTAGAATTAAAAAAACAAAATTGAAAATCATATGAAATCATAATTTTGTAAAAATATATCCAAATTCTTCCTAAAGTGCTTAGATATTTTTAAAAAAGTCATGATTTTTAGTTTATAATTGATTTCAACATGCATAAATGATGTTTGAATATTTTTTTAAAAAAAATTGACATGTAATGAATATTTGAATATATTTTCATAAAACTATATTTTTGACTTTTAAAATTGATTATATCATCTATTCAAACAGGCACTATATTGCCCAAAATAATTTTCCCAAAAAATTTTGACCACTTGCTTAAATTTTCTGAATGTAGCTTGTCTTAAAATAACCGTGGTCACTCTCATTTCAGGCGAGTCGGTCATTCCAGCTGCTTAAAAGATTGCCCGCTTAACCCAACATTTCCCTTCAGAGGTCCCTCTCTCGCCATCTAGATTGCGGCATGCAGATATGTAACCACGTCTGTCAACCATTGCAGCAAAATTCCCATATAGAAATCAAGGGGTTCCAACTTCAAACAAGGAGTAATGGTTGAGATGGAAATCCACAAGGCAAAAAGAAAGATGCCTATGAAGAACAGAGTGGGAAATCAGTAATGGAGCCAAGACAACACCAAATTAGATTCAGTTATATTTATAGAGATGATCTGCTGCATAGCTTGGAAGTCAAACATAAAAATGTACATGCAAAAAAATACATGCATTAGCAGAGGATTAACAGTAGCACAAACAAAAAATACTTTGCTTCGAGCGAAATGCCACCCAGAGACACAATCTTCCGATTGCAAGCAAACTCGGGAGTTAAGTAATGCAAATGAGAGCTATCATTTATTAGCAACAATGTCAAAATGACGCTGAATTCGTTCTGCGAAGTTGATGCTTAGGCTCAGGTGGGGGAGCACGCGGCAATGTCCTCTCCATCTCCTGCATCTGCAAATGAAAGAGTTCACCAACATGAAGATGAATCATCTTGCGTGTTGTATCTAACAAGTTATATGGACACTGCATTCATTACACGCTTTGTGCTTCAATATTGTGTTATTGACCAGCACATCGAAGAACAACAGCAGTGTGTCAAAATTTAGCACGCCACAAAATTTTCTTCCACAGATAAATTTCTTGTTTGATAATAAACTGCTTATACAGTCCAATTACTGTGGTAACATCCTTCCCCAATTGATTTCTCTACTTAGTTTACATGATTTCAAAAAGATGAATAACAACCACACATGGAAACAACAGCAGGAGCAAACAAGAAGGTTTTCTGCATGTATACAATCAACAATCACCGTCATGATGCATACTAGTTCTACAGAAGAATGAGGAAATTTCGCTTCACCCGCAGAATTTTTTTTTTTTTAAAAACGTAGTTAAATTGCCAAGAAAAATGCAGATATATATGAAAACAGGGGATCAAATGTAACAATGGATAGTTCATAAGTATCATGAAAATCACAGTTAAGAACTTAAGATCAACGACCTATCCTAAAATTTTAACGTCAACTTAGTTACTACATTCGCCCAATATCCTTTTTTTTACTAAAAGAATTTATCTGTCAAATTCCTTCTTAACACTAAACATCATAAACAACTAGAAGTTGAATAGGCCAGTTCAGCACATACATGTTCCATTATTCTCTAAAGCTTATTCCATCACATTCCAAATTCCAGACATATAAAAAATATAAACTCAGCTCCTTACATTAAAGAATAAAGCGCAAGCTGTTCAACTTTACGATAAAATTCAAGTAAATGAGTTCTCACCCGGACAAGAATTGATCTTTAGTAGCTTCTACAATACACAAATTCAACTATAACTGACTTTTTTTTTCTTTCCTCACAAGCTACCATTCAAATGCAAAATGCAGTTTAGAGTATCTTTATCCAAAACATTTATGCCTAGCACTCTCAACACTTTGACACTTTGTATGTTACATCTTTATCCAAGATATGAAAAAAAACAGGCAAACTGAGACATGTTGCAAACAAGCAACCAGATGAAGTCTTATCAACCCCATCAAAATGACAGGAAGAGGTAATCAAACCAAGAAATATCAGAAAAGTAGAATAAACCAAGCATGCAAAGTGACAAGCACCGCAACATACATGGAGTCTTCTAAGCCTTTCATTCTCCATTTCTAGACGCTTAACTTTAATCTCCAGTTCATTTGTATAAGCCTGCCAATTGACCAAGATATCAATCTTATATCAACTATGAAAAAACAAGTAGCCTCAAAGAAACTACATCATATAAATGATTTAACCTGCTTTCTTGCCCGTGATCGAGCAGCAGATTCCCTATTTTTAATCATCCTCTTCTGCCTCCTTTCCACTGTTTTTTCAGCCCCATCGCCAGATGCCAACCTTTTCCGACCTGAAGCTTGTGAATCTGACATTGTACCCATCAAAGAAGATGGTGACATATTCACCATGGTCTCAGAGTAGGTTGGATCCAAAACTGAAACTGGGAAAGATGGTTGAATTGCAGGACCAGCCATGAAACCAGCCATTATATTGTGTTGATTTTGAAGGGGGTGCTGGGATGGCTGCTGAACTGGAGGCAGCTGGTATTGCAACCAATGAGCATGCTGTGACATATTCTGCATGGAAGCCACATTTGAATCAACTCCAGACATGACAGCATCATTCTTTGTATTGAGAGATTCTGCAGCCACTCCTGCCTTCAACAGAAAGTCCTCTAGGGTCATCTCACCGAGTGTAGGCTGCCTGCCTTGAGCTTTCCTATCAAGATTAATGCTTTTCTTCTCCAGGATATCTTTCCAAACCTCTTCAACAGTCTTCTTGCTAAGATCCCCAGATAACGTGAGGCTTCCCTGTCGATTCAGGGACGACTCTGATGCAAGCTGACCAGAAGGAGAATCCAACCCAGAGGCCTGACCCTGACCAGCTTCAGCGGTCCACACACTCTTGAGCAGCTCGTCCAGATTCATACTCCCTAGTGGTTTCGCTAAATTTCCAAGCTGGTTCTGAACCTCATCAAGAGTCAGATTGTACAAGGAACCTTGCCGAGCCAAAGACGACGCCGTCTTTAGCTCTTGGATTGCTCCTCCTTGAGGTCCCATTATTTAAACCCCCGACTCCCTGAGGCAGGCCTACAGCCTTATATCTTCCATTTCTGAAATAAATCCAAATACCCAGGAATTGTCTCTATCTCAAGTTACGACCCGGCCACAGTGACCTAAATACCCAGATGACAGCGTGCAAGCCTACACAATGATTCTTTTACATATGAAGAGAAACAATCTCGTAAACGAACCTGAAAACAAAAAAGAAACAGACGAATGGCCCCCTAATCAATCGATACACAACCAGATTCTTCAAGGTTTAGCAACAAGTGCTTAGCAACACAAAGCAAACAGTGCAAAGTGGAGTGCCAGAGAATCGTCCAGATCAGATATGAAAGGGAATATAGGAAATAAAAGAGAATGTTGTAGAAGAACAGATACTCCACAGAAAAAGCACAGATTAGTCGAGAGAGAAACCCATCAGCTGCAAATGCGTGTCATTAGTACCATCAAAACTGATCTTGCAAAACATTGATTGCCGAATATGAACAAGACTATTTTTGGTCATAAAAATCGTAGGGTTGCACATCCCGTGGAAAACACAGCTAAAAGTGGTTCGAAATTTTCCGTGATGAGAGATTGGAAAAACGAATTTCACAAATGAAGAAATTTGTGGAACCGTTGGGACTTGAAAATGCAGACAGTACTTACTCCGAACTCAAAAGGAGAAAGAGAAAAATCTATGCAACCCTTCCTCCACCTACTTGGCGCAGGATCTAATCTGAATCCGTCTAATGAAAAAGTGGGCCTTTCCATTTTTGATCGTTGAGAGTGGAGATATCAGTCCGCACCGAGCCAGAAAAAAGAATATGAAAAGCGACCAGCATTATCACAATATTTACAATATTAAATAGAAAAAGGACCTGCATTTCACCTTTCTTTTATATATATATATATATATATTATATTATTATTATCTCTCTCTCTCTCTCCTCCTTTCCAGGTGGAATGAAATTCTGTGGAAAATTCTGGACCACGATTTTGATCCACCGAGGGGTTTGCCAAATCATTTTCTACATCTATCTATTATAAATTTGTAATAATAAATTTCTTTAATGAAATGAAAACGACAATCTGTTTACGTCTTTTGTAAATTAAATCCCCTGTCAGCATCTAATTGTAATGTATTAGAAATTCGGCATGTTGTTCTGGATGATCTTTGTAAAAACCAAGTATTGTAGTTGTGATATATAAAACTGATTTTTTCGTCAGATAATTCATTTTGTTTGAAGTATATCTGTAGTGAAAATGACATTGCGAGAAAAATATGTAATTAAATTCTCGTGTACGTCCTCACGAGGTAATTGTGACTTGTAAGGTGTAAGCTCACGACCTGACAATTAATATGCATTTCATGTAACTAGAAAGGGCATAAGCAAAACATTACCTTTTATATATTACACTTTATATTGTGAGGGCACTGCATGCATGATTTGTCGACTATGTTATATATGTATCCATGTATATGGATAACCTAATATTATTGATCTTGCCCTTACGCAATACTTGACACATATCTACGCATCATAGCAGTGATTTTGACGCATTATATATATATATATATATATATTCATTAAGGGTTTCCGCGATACTGACTAAGCATTTCTTCATGTGTAAAATAATGTACATTATAAGTATGACAGATGGCTTGGCTTGGCTTGGCTTGCAATAAATAGTAATACAAGATATGTTGGAACTCAAAGTATGTGTGCTGGCTTTTCTTTTGAAGGACGAGAATTCATTTAAAGCAGTTGGAATCCTAATAGGCTGATTTAGTTAAGTTTGCAAGGACTGCTTCCTCCCTCTCTTAACATGCACCAAAAAAAGCGACTTCTAGAACTCTTCAACAAACAAACAGCTGACGTACTTGATCATGATCACCCTCAATGAAAGATCCTTTTACACAAAATTAAACTCTCTGAAAATGACCATTCATTTTGGAAACTTCCCAAATAAGTCCATTCTATATATACACACACACAACGGAATTATCAGTTTTCTTCTATACTGATTAATTTATCACATAATAAAACGCATATAAACTCTTAGCACGTGACCCAAAAGGCTATGAGGAAACGGACAAAGTCAAAAGAACCTGCGTGCGCCTTCCACCGAGGAGGAGAAGCACGTGCCCATGTTTTTCCATGTTATCACCCCTAATTCCCTCTCCCATTCGCACCTTAATTAATAAATTTTATCTTCATTGATACATACATTCGTATGGTCAGTGATTAAGAAATGAGAAGGTTGGTGATTATTTTAGAGGCTTTGGGTGTGATAGCCGTTGAGATCAGTGGGATTTAGTTAGTAATAATAATAATTAAAAGGATTAGAAGTGTCATTGTTAGGACCAGATTGCCAGAGTTATTGTCTCAGTGTCGGCTTCATTCCTTTTTTTTAAAACAAAGAGCAGTGTGACTAATTCATTCCTCGAGGAAGTTGGGAGCCAACTCTTCTGCCAGTTGCGGATGCTCCACACCATCCCATTCTATCAGCCACGGACGTCTGGCCATGCCCACTTCCCTACATATTCTTATGTCTATCATCATCAAATTAATATAATTATGCATTAGATATATCGTATTGCATTTTTCCCCATTTTTAAATTAATTAATTAAAGAGCGCTAGCTTCTTTGTGCTTCCTTGTAGTACTCAAATAATTTTCTATGTTGTGACATTCTTTACAAGTTGTTCTTTTTATATATATATATATATATATATATAACTTTTCAAGTTGTTTTAATTGATACGAGAAACCCTAATTCTTAAAGTTGAAGGAACAGATTTTGCAAAATAGAGTGGACAAGCACAGCTCATTCACAAAAAAAAAGAAAAGAAAAAAAAAAGCATCGTTCCGTGAAGCGATGCTGTAAAATCTACGGGGCACAGTCGCGCAGATATATTTGAATCTCGACTTAAGAACCGTACGCTCAAATTTTGAGAAGGAAAGAATTAGTATTAGATTCTTACGACGTGATATTTTTTTTTTTGGGTTTAATTAAGGAAATATTAATGCGTTAATTTTTACAGTTTCATCAAATTTTTAATCACGCTCCTTAAGTTTTCTTTTTCTTTTCTTTTCTTTTCTTTTTTTTTTTTTATCAGTCCTCGTAGTTCACTCTTCACTGCGTCGCTGGTTTCCATCCTTCAGTCTAGAAAATGCCATTCAGAGCAGAAATACCATTTCAGCTAGTAACGTTGTAGGCTGGCGGCTAGCTTAGCTGGATCAACCGTGGAAATATGGACTTGTAATATTTGAAGCTATGTTTGGATTAGCTTCAAATTAAAGTTGAAAACACTCAAACCTTAATTAAAAATATTAAAAGCTCATTACAAAATAAAAATCATGTTTGAATTGAGAAAAAATTTTAACTGAAGTTAGGGTCTAGATGAACTTTTTTTTCAAAACTCATTTTCATAGCTTCTGCGTTAATGTTGAGTATTGAAAGCATTTAATTTATTTAAATTTTTTATTATTATTTATTTCTGCATCAGTGTTCAACATGAGAGGGAGAGCTTTTTTTTATGTTTTACTGACAAAAGCAAGAGAGATGTTGATGAAGAATTTCTAATTAATTAGCCTATTTAATATATATTAATTTATTTTAAATTTTTTTAACATTATATTTTTAAATACAATTATAATTTAAAGTTTAATTTTTTAAAAACAGAATGTTGGTTAATTACAAAGTTTAATATTTTTTAAAAAAATTAAATTAATTATAAAAATATATAATAAAATTTATGTCTTTTTTTATCATTATATTGCTAAACTAACTTTTGAATTAAATCATCTAAAAAAATTTTAATTTATCAAACTGACTTCTGAAAAAAAAATATCCAAATAAAAATTACATTAAAGTCATAAATATTTTTTCTAACCTCAGTTATAAATTTTTTAATCCAAACACACACTAAAAATCACAAGAATAAAATTATGGATGCGGTCTATTTTCCCTTCTCAATTTCCATACGTATTTTATTTTACTTTCTTCTTATTTTCTAATGTTATATTTAGTAATTTAATTCAGGTTAAAAAATTTACAATAACCTCCAGCAAAAACATTGAGTCAATTATTGTCAAATTACGACGAGTCTAATGTACCACATGAAAACCGAAAAAATAAACTGTACTATTTATCATTTAAAATAATACCTAGGAGACATTTAACAACTTTCACTTGGATCATGAAAACAAGTTAAAATTAGCAACTCTAATTAAATATATCAATATTTTCAATTATTTTTCAAGATTACTCTTTTTAAAAAAATAGTTATTTTGTTAAATAAGTCCATAATTTGTTAAAGGTGCTTGGATTAAAAATCAGAATCAATTAAGATTAATAAACTAAAGTTTAAAGAAAAGTTTATAAATTTAACATGATTTATGATTGAATACCTTTTTATTTAAAAATTAGTTGAACAAACTAAAATTTATTTGAATAATTTAATTTAAAAGTCAGTTAAAATTTATAATGAGAAAATGAACACAAATTTTCTTATATATATTTTTATGACTAATTTAATATTTTTTTAAAAAAATATTAAGATTAAAATAATATTTTTTTTAAAAAAATAGATTTTTAAAAGGGTACAATAAAATGATTTTACATCATACTCCTCTTGTCCTTATATATAAAGTGTTTTTTGAAAGTTTATTTTATTCCTAAATATAAGTAGTGACAATAATATTTTTAAATAATTAAATAATTTTATCCTCATCATAAAAAATAAAATGAATCATTAATTATATATTTTTATCACTATCATAATATTAATTATAATATTATTAAGGATTAAATTAAAAAATTATTACATTTTTATATAAGTTTAATTAAATAATAAATTTTTATTGATATATTAAATTTGATTAAAAATATTTTATATATAAAAACAAAAGAAGTAACATTTAAAAAGGCGTAATAAATTTTTAGAGATGTACGAGTCTGTCTTGTGCAAGTACCACATGGAGGAGAGACAGAAATTGTAACAAAAAATTAAATGTTTCTATTTAATACCCGCACTGACCGCACCTACCCTACAGAAGCCAGAAAAACTTGCTTCAAACCCAACGCCATGTTTGGTCCATAAGTCCTTTTGAACATTTTTCTACCAAAACGTGATTTTGTTCCCCTTCCCAAAGTGTTTTTAACATCCCAACTGAGATTTGGGTAAACACGCCCTAAATCTTTTCGTATCATGCGCGCGTTTGGTTAACTCAATTACCAGATGAGCCTACTTGAGCCGTGAAAAATAACTATTGGGCCGTGTGGCTTTTTGTTTTTGTTGTTTGGTCGGACAACAAAATCTAAATGAAGAACGGGCTACCCCAGGAGCAGAGGAATATTTGCCCAAGCCGTGAGTGTTGCCGTGTTTCAGCTGCACATCTTGCATAATAGGACCCCGGGACACTATGTGTTAGAGTTGAACAATTTTCAGCTGAAGTTAGAACTCAACTGACATAAACAAATTGAGATTTAAAAAAAAAAAATCTGTGGATATAACATTATTTATATTTGAAAACTTTGTTTTAAAAGTTAATTGGACAAACTCAAATTTATTTGAATGATCTGAGTTCAAAAACCAGCTTAGATGTATAATAATAATAATAATAATAATAATAATAATAATAAGATATGAATTTGATGATTTTTTTTTACTCATTTGATCTCTAGCAAAAAATAATAAATTTTAAATTACAATTTTTTTTTAAATAAGGTAGAATGAAATGATAAGTTACAAAATATTTAATTATAAAAAGCCAAAATAAATTTAGAAATTACAAAATATTCAATTCTAAAAGATAAAATAAATTGACAAATTAAAAAATCTTAAATTTTTAAAAGGCAGAATAAAATGATAAATTACAAAATATTGAATTACACTATTAATCATCTTAATTGAAATTTATACATAAACCTAAACAATTATAATATTGCCAATGAATTAATCTAATCTAATTGAAAAATAAATTCTAATATTTCAAAATAAAGCATAAAAATGAGCATGAATCCTCTCCTTTTTTCCCATCCTCTTCCATTGCAACGTTGTTAAAAAAAATGGTTAATAAAACTGTGTAACTTAAAATTTAAAAAAAAAAAAAAAAAAACCTCTAGTCCCACATGTTGGAGCCTGTGTAACATTGTCATCACATCAGCTTTCTTTCATCATCTTTCCTTTTCTCCTCTTTTTTCCCCACCACTGGGTTTTAAAGCCACCTTTTACGGCTTCACATCAAACACTGCTTGCAACTTTTTTGCATCCAAATAACAGTTTTTGAACTTCTAATATCCCAACCTAGTTTAGAACCATCTCAACCTATTGGGACGTTCTCCAAACATACCCTAAATAGTAAATAGAGTATTAAGTTTACCATCAGAAGTTGAATTTAACAGAACTACTCTTTCGAAACATGAAAAATCAAAGTTCAAATTTTCATCAGAAAAAAATGCTTACATTTCGTAAGTGGCAGTACCTCAAAACAGAATTAAGAATTTTTTTTTTAAATAAAAAAATAGAGTAGGAAATGTGTTCCCTACCCCAAAAAAATGTAAAAGTACTGAATTTGCAGCCTCACCAATCAGATCATGCATATGTTGAGTTTGCCAGCTAAGGTATTGCATCAGGTCCCCAATGATCTCAATCATCACAACTAAATATTAAAATAAGGTCTAGATAATTTTTTTTTTTTTTTCAACTCATGAACACATTTGTGCTACTTTTAACAGGGTCGACGGGAGATAGAAAAACGCTCTATCCATCGCTCTCCTTAGACATACCCAACATGCCAATTCCGTATCAAATTAGCCATATAAAACTGACGAATTTTTTGTCCTACGTCTCTAGCTAGTGGGGCAGCCTCTTTCAAGTTTTGGCTGAAAATTCGAGCCAGATAAAATTGGTGATTAAGAAGAATAGAATGCTCCCGATTTTATGCTTTGTAAGGGATGATAGTCAACTCAGCATCCAGTACTCCCACAAATTTCCGGAACACAATTTTTTTGGGTTATTTGAATCAATGACACCATTGTTACGCACATATATTTCATTTATTTTTATATTCATATTCTAACAAATTTTAATTGAATCAAATAGGCACCACCGTCAACTCCAAGCACCCCTCCCCCAAAAAAAAAAAACAAATGGCCCAAGAAAAACTGCTTATGAAAAAAATGGAGACAAAATTATCCACCCGAAGTGAGGACCTGAGGCGGGGAAGATGAAGGTATATCCTGGACCCTCTGCAGGATTTTTTTCATTTCATTTTTCTTTCCCCACGAGCATGGATGTCCGACACCTGAAAATATACACTCAAAAATGGCATACGAGCACCCTGGTATTCTTTACTCAGGCCATTTTCCTCCAATCCTTGCTGCAAAACTTGGGCGACTACTCTCAGAATGTTTCGTTCCGAGTCATTCTATTCCGATGATTCCCTCACCAATCCCAATCCTCGCCACTAAAGTAAAACCTTCATAGATGAACTGCAAACTTGTAGCTCTTTCACGTTGTAAACACACTTGACCTCCAATATTATATTACTGCAGAAATTTAATCAACTTTTTGCTACCATTAACCCCCTACACCCACCCTCCCGGGGCACAAAGATCCGGCCATCCATCGACGAGGACTTGCCTTGTTTTAATAGTAAGCCCAAGGGAACAAGACGTGACAACCATCGACGAGAACATAAAATCACTTCAAACAGAAAGCAATCTTTTGACACAAGCATTTTTTCAGGTCATTAAGGATTTTTGAGACAAGTAACAAACAAGAAGTGAAGACCAAGACTGGCAAAAGGCATCAAAGAAAACCAAAATAAAAACAAGGAAATGCTAGAGTACACTTCAGAACTGAAAAAATATAAGCATTTTCAATCCAAAAAACATTTAACTAAACAAGAAGCGAAGACCAAGACTGGCAAAAGGCATCAAAGAAAACCAAAATAAAAACAAAGGGAAAAAAAATGTTAGAGTACACTACATAATTGAAAAAATATAAGCATTTTCAATCGAAAAAACATTTAACTTGAAACTGTGAAGAAATTAAAAAACGATGTCGCCGATTTAGGGGGGGAAAAACGATGGTGAACAAAGGCTCCAATAAATGTAGAAGTGAAAAAAGATGAGGCTCTCAGTGAATTCATCTAAAAATTTTGAATTCATCTAACGAGTCTATTTGCACATGAATTTGGAGCTTGAGCTTCCAACACATAACGGAAGTAAGTCACGGTTGTCTGACAACTGAACTACCAAGAAATTAACGATCGGCTTTCTCAAGAATCACTTCTCCCTCCATTTGGCCCTCACAAGAGGGGGAAAAAAACCTTCTCAATTTAGCTCTTTCAAGATTCTTTTTAAACACAAAAAGCACAACAACACACTCAATTGCCAACAAACACATTAAAACTACATCCTTGAAACTGCTACTTACCTTCCAGTCCTTGTAAGCCACCTAGTTCTTTGAGGACAGTTAGCAACCAACTAGGCCGTTATCATAATTACTGAACCAGCCTCATATTTTTGGATACAAGCACCTCAGAAGCACATTTTGTAATAAAACTAACTACACGCTTATAAGATAAATTTTAATTTATACGATGGTTTTATTTCCTGTAACAAAGCAACATACAACAGTTTGCGAGTTTCAAAATAAACGCAAATTAAAACAAAGAATGTCAAGAAACCCACTGAATCATTTAAAAATAAACTACTCCATAACTGCTTCAGCAATTATAGGCATATATAAGGGTGACAGTGAAAGGCTTGTTTCAGTGAAAAGAAGGCAGGCAAACAAAAACAAAAGGGAAAGTGTTACTCAACCCACAGTGAGGAGTGATGGCGTATTTCTTAAATCTGGGTTTCCGCAGAAAAAAATAATCACATAACAGCCAAAAGAACATTACCGAGTAAGGAAAATACTGGTTAGGTTCATAGTTGAGGAACCCTAGTCCCTACCCTTCCCTTAAAAAAAGTTCAATGCTTTTACAAAATCTGATAAAATTCAAACTTGCTTCACGACCATTTATCTTTTTCTTTCATTTAAACTGATTTCATCATTAAACACTTGTTGATATACTTAATATATTTAATATAATAACATAGTAGTTACGACTGTCAAACCTGCAACACAAAGAACCTGCACAAAATCAAGTAAGCATACATTTAAAGTAAAAATAATCACATAAGCTATTGGTTTCTAAGCAATTATACCCAGGATCTGAAAACAACTTAGCATACTATCAAAGTTTCATTTCAAGCATCAGGTGTTCAAAAAATAACAAAGAAAGATAATGCAATAAATAAAAAATAAATTTATTTAAAAACAAGAGAAAAAGAGAAAATAACACCCCGTTATATAGATTATAGAATATTAAGTGCGAGCATAGTGAAACATACAGGGATAAACTAAAATGTCTTTTGTTCATCATCTGAAACTCCCCCAAAGTACATATAAAACTACATTCACGGCACTAAAAGTCTAAAACAGTTCCAAAGGGTTTTTAAAGATGAATAAAAAGTTAAAATACAATATTTTGAAATAGAAGCCAGGATGGAAAAAGATGGGGAAAACAGAACTCCATTTGATAGTTTAAATACTGATCATTGTAGTAAGTAACATTTCATTATAAAGACGCCATTTGCATCAGCTCCTTAAACTTCAGAAGAATCACCAGGCCAGTAATAAAAGACTGATTATGTGGAATCTGCAAAATGAATAATAAAGCATGAAAACCAATTTCAAGAGTGAAAGGAATGAGGTGTCCAAAAACCAGATTTTAATAAACTTAGTTGAAAGAGATATTAAACAGTCAAATGCAAGTTCAAAATGATTTGATGCTCTTAACTTGCTTGGAACATCAGGTAGTGGCGTAATAAGGGTCGATATCTAACTATGTATATGTAGTGAAAACCGTGCTGCAACCATTAACAAAGACTTTACAAGACTACTCCACAAGTGAATATAGGATGTGTTCTGCCAGAAAGACCCTACAACGCAACAGCAACCACCAAACAAGGATTTACCGAGAAGAGATGATCATATTAAGAATATGAATCTGATGCTTTCATCCAATGCAAAGAATTAGCAGCAAACCGGGAAAAAAAAACCCCAAGTTCTTCTTCCTAGTTCATGTAAAAACACATCAACCTCAATGAACAGCATCAACTCATCATCAAACTCTAAGGTTCATGCTCCTTTACCTATTATTACAAGATAAAAAGCACCAATTCTATCATCTAATAATCATAGCATTTAAACGGAAACAAATCAAGATAGGGAGAATTCTCTTGTGGAAATCAGGAATATAGATTCCAACGATGAGTTAATGGAGGAAAGAATACGAGTAGAACATAGGCATACCTAGTGCCCCATGTAAGGGGCAACGCCACCATATTGGCCAACACCATGCTGCCCTCTTCCAGAACCACTTTGTCCGGCCTGCTGGTTCGGATATGTCCCCTGTAAACCACTTTGATTTCCATATCCACCAATGACACCCGAGCTTATATTTGGTTGGTTACTGTAACCACCCTGCATTCCATGGCCTGCAGAAGGAACAGCCGGGTTTACTGTAGCAGCTGGTCCTAGAGTTCCCAATAAATTGGTCAGCCCCAATCCAGCCCCTTGAGTTGCAAGCAGTGCTGTCAAAGCCTGCCCGAGGGCTGGGCTTAGCGTCTGTGCAGCCGCCTGCTGGTTAAATCCCATACCAGGTCCCGCCGGTGCCATCAGATGCCCTTGCCCGGTAGCAGCCCCACCAACATATGAAGTGGTCTCATTTCTCTGGAATTGGGTTCTCTGAGGATTCTGATGTTGCTGATATTGAGGCTTTCCCGGCTTTGGACCATCTATTGCCTTCTGACAGTGCAACATATGGCCCTCAAATTCCTTATGAGGCTCTTCCAATGCCTTTCTGGCACTCTCAATGCTCTTGTACACAAACAAGCAGAACCCTTTTGGTTTCCCAGTCAGCTTATCAAGCCCTAATGGTCCTTCCTCGATCTCCCCAAACTTCGAAAAAAAGACATGCAATTTCTGAGGATCTAAATCGGCCGCAACATTGCTAACGTAAATCTTCCTTTGGGTATACTCTGATACCGGTTGTGTCGGGGTTGATTGTGCAGCAACTGGCTGTTGAACCGGGCCAATCGAAGCCAGCTGACAGGCCGTCATTCGATTCCCGATCTTCTTCTGCGGTTGCTTCAGCGCATTGCGAGCTCCACGACGCGATTTGAAGAGGATAAAGCCATACCCCTTGGATTTACCGGATACCTTGTCACATACAGCCTTGCAATCTTCAATTTCACCGTACTGCTTGAAAACGTTGATGAGGGTATCAGCGTTTGTGTCCCATCCGAGGCCGTGTACGAAGATTTTTCGATGTACGGGGTCCTCGTCAGCCACCTTGCGGATCCGATCCGCTACATCGCGATGTTTATTCGCCGCTTCGTACAGCAGATTTAAAATTTGTTCCTTGCTGAACGGTTCCAGAAGCTTATGTATCGGCTCGTCGTCATCGTCGTCCTTTCCATGTGGACCGGTTACTGATGTTGCAGCCGCGGATGTTGAATGGGGCTTAGATGCCAGGTCATTCGCATTTTGGGAGTGATCGGGAATAGCGCTATCATCTCCGGCTCCTTCTGGTTCTTGTTCCTCCTCTTCCTCTTCTTCTACCTCCTCCTCTTCTTCCACTTCAACTTCCTCATACTCGGCTCCGTTATCTTGGTCTTCAACAGTTTGCTCTGCTTCTGGTTCATATTCCTGCTGCTGCTGCTGTTGATGCTGTTGCTTCAATGGGGGTTCAACGGATTCAGCAGGTTTTGGCGTGAGCTTTCGCTTCCTCCCCATTGCCGGATGGATACTCGCTGAAGTGCGGCCGAAGGCTTTAGGGTTTGAGGTTTGGAATCACGGCACTGTCCCAGATTTTTTTATACGGACGGCATTACAAAATTTCGCTTCTTTTTTTTCCTTTTTCCATTATATGCGCGGACCCCAAAAATAAAAGAAAGAAAGAAAGGAAAAGAAAAAATATCATGGGACAATGACAATTAAGGACCCTAAAAATTTTAGACAATTACAGACTATAAGTTACTAAAATGTAAATGCGGATAATTAGTTGAAAATTTTATTAAATATACTTAAAATTATTTATAATATTAATTAAAAATTTATAAAAATTAGTTATAAATTTTATTTTTTTGTTGTCAAACTATAAATAAATTACTTAAGAAATTAAATAAATATAATTTGAATTTTTGATATGTTGGTTAGAAATTTAATAGAATAAGTTGTAAATTGTAAGTCAGTCACTTATAAATTTTTTTGATATTAATATATAAATAAATTATTTAAAAAATTTATTAAATATGCTTGAAATTATTTATAATGCCAATTAGGAACTTATGAGAATCACTTATGAATCACAAATTAATTACTTGTGATTTTTTGCCACCGCTTAGACAATCAATAAAAGATAGTTAAAAATATTTGTAGTGTTAATTGGGGATTGACCAAAACTATTGTGATTCTCGAGCTAATTAAAAAAATATAATTTATTACAAGTAAAAATCATGATTTGTTATTGAGATTTTATAATTCAATATCTATAATTGTTATTAATGTTCTTATGAAGTTTCTAATTGTCATTTTTTCAAACATCATTTAAGGGTTGCTAAGGCAATTTAGTATCAAACAATAACCAAAAAATTGTGAAATATCTTTGTATTATTAGTGAACTAATTTGAAAATAATTTTAGATGATAAAATATTATAATACCCTTGCTTTTGTTTTTGTATTTTAAACTTGTCAATTAGTAAATGGTTTATTGTAAAGTGTGATTGTGTACTTGTCAATTAATAATAACTGTTTGCTAAAACATAATCTACGTTTGTTCCTCCTTATGACTAAACTTTTTCAAATTTTCAAATTTATGTTAAATGTGAATGAGTGTTCGTTAATAAAAAATGACTACTTGTCAAAACATAATCTCCACTTATTATTTTTCACTACTAAACTCGTCCATATTCTTAAATTTATCAATTAACAAATGGCTATTTGTTAATTAACTAATAACTACTTATTGAAACATGACCTACATTCATCCTTTTGCACAATCAAACTCTTTCAAATTTTTGAACCTGTTAATTAGTGAAGGGCTTATTATTTAATACAAAATGATACTTGTTAATTTATGAATAACGATATATCAATTAAAAAATAAGAACAAAGGTATTATAGTCTTGTTTCATCTAAAAATATTTTTAAATCAGTTCCCTAATCATGTAGTGATATTTTAAAATTTTTTATTATTGTTTGATATTAAATAACCTCAACAACCCTTGAATGATATTTTCCCAAAAAATACCTATTTGTTAAAATTTAAAAAGAAAAGAAAATATCATTCAAGGAGTTGTACTATTAGTATTAAAATAAAATAAAGCATTCTAAATTTCTGTTGTATGATTAGAAACCAAATTAAAAACAAGCTTAAATTTAAAATGATATTTTTAGTTAAAAAATGTAAAATGATAAAAATATGATAATAAAATATTATTGAAATATACAAATAATAAATTGATAAAGTGAGATATGATAAATATTGTATAGTTACTAGTTAGTTGTTTGAATTTCTTATAAACAACACATTTTTCCTCCTTAAAACCCCCCTTGTCTCTATTAAGCCTTTAGAAATAGTAATCCCAACCTTGTCGGGATGAAGATGTGGTAGACAAGGCTTCGTCAAGAATACAATAAAGCGCTATGTGATAGTTTATCGCCAAAAGCTTCTATCACAAGACATGGTGCTCCAAAGGATTGGATCGAAGTAGCAAATCCATTTGCATAGGTAGAAGAAATCAATTTGAAACCCATCATCGCATTTTTAGACTTTGTGAAACTGAGCTCAGATAAACAAACCCATTTTTACATTAACATGTAATTAATAAATAACTATTCAAAGTATGGTTTTCCTAGTTAACTCAAATCTTTGAAAGATTAAAGGTTTGCCCTTGAACAATTAACTTCCAAACTCAATTTCTCAAGCCAGAATGGTGCTCGAATGGTAAATCTACAATTAATCAAATCTAAACCTATCAATATTGCTAAAACATTTCCTCTCTCACATTTTCACTCCTAAAATATCCAACACTCTTATTTCTCACCTTTGGACTTAGTCATTAGGTATAATAACTCTCTTTAACTCCTAATACCATCAATAAGTCATTAAACCTCCATTAATGGCATTACAAGTCCTCCAACAACCCTTATCAATGTCATTTTAAGATGTTTATAGCATCTACCAACTAACAATCTTTAAAACTATTAATATTAAATAACTCTCATTAACTCCATTTGAGTTAATGAGTTTGAACGCATAACTTATATGAACAAAAAATCATCTTCCATTGTTAAACCCTAATAAAGAACCTCATAAAATGGAAAAGAAAGAAAGATTAGGGTATATGACATTTACTTTAGATGTTTTCCAGCACCAAAATACTCCCAAATCTACAATGCGGATAACCTTGGTAGAGCTTTGTTGAGCTCCTTCGTATTCCTCTTCTAATCTCTATATTAGTTTGTGACTAGTATACGAAAATTTTTAGCCGTGCACCATGATGTATGGCATAGAGAGGCCCTTCCTTCTTCATTTCTATTTGTGCACCATGGTAAATGTGTTGCATGTCACGACATGTGGCACAGATATAATCCTTCATGTTTTTTTCCTTCTTTCAATGTCCGAGTGGCTCAACTTTACTTAGAACCCATAATTAAGGCTAAAGTCATAACTGAATACATTTATTAAACCCCTCTAGCCACATACCACATTAAATAACTCAATCACCATAATTAAACTTGATTAATTTCTTAACAATTTAAGGTTTAAAATTTAGGATGTTATAATTCTAGCATCACAGCTTTACATAAATCTAATGACTAATATGAGGAATGATTAATATATTATCTACAAGCTTTATAATGCTTAACCAGTCAAATGAGATAAGATCTCATAAATTAATTATCTTTAGTTATAGTAGATTTCTCTTTATGGTTGAAAAAATAAACTTAAAAGAATTACATGTTTGGGCTGATTTTTTTTTTTTTGCTTCATCTCAAATTATTGAGAGAACTCTATAGTTTACGAGGCATCAAATGATAAATGACACATGTGCCTGCCGACCTCTTATACCTTCTATAATTTGAGGCTTTTTTTTGTGGATTTATAAAATTGTATCCTTAACTTTACCTCCCTTGTTCTTATATCTGGTTATGAGTTATCATTTATTTAACAACCATTAAGGAATGGTTAAAATCACAAAAAATATATAATGGATAAAGGCAGTGTCAAGAACTCAACTATTTCATCTAAGCCATATCACACTTCCAAGCTTTGTTTTGTTTTCTAGGTGATGATTATAAAGATTAGATATTGAATTTGGGACTTCTCATGGATTTGTTGTTAATTGAGAGGATGTCAAGGGATCTCAAGTATGATAATCATCAAAATGTTATTTTATTCTTTTGTTGTCTTTCTAGCACGTTAAAAGTTAAGTTTTTAATCTGCTTATTACTTTCTTTTTAGTCCTCATATTAATTGAGAGCCTATCAAATAAACTCCCTTGCTTCTTGGAACTGATTTCTCAGCATAAAATTTGTAAAAGATTAAAGATACACTCTTAGCCATAATTACAAACTCTAAAGGCATTAAGCTTTGTATATTTATTATTCATCTTTTTTATAGATTTTTACAATGTAAATTTTACATAGAGATACCTATGAGCTTTGTAAAGATAAAAGATGTTGCAATATGTTGATCTTCACTTTCCTTGTTGTCCTAGTGGACATTTTTTTACATGGGAGGAGCATTTAAGTTTAAGGAAACATTGCTGTTGTCTCCATTGTCTTTCTTGTTGGCTAGAGTATTTAAATTAAAAGATAAGGAACACATTTTCATGGTGGAAATTGTCTTTATTTTGTTTTGTTTTTTTTATCTGCAATTTGATTATGTTTTTAAGGTTTCCAAAATTTATCTTGTAGTTAATTTCAACTCCTGACAAGAAAAGTGAGAAGAAGCAAGAGTAACCTTTTCATTATAAAAGGAGCAATTATTCCTATATTTGTAAAGTATGAGAGAAAGAAATAAAAAAATTAATATTATATTAATTGATTGTAGTTTTTGCCTTTTCATTTGACGATTAGTTTTGACATTTTATTTAATATTATTCTTTATATTTTTGTTATATTAATATTGATGAGATTTATAAAAATAATTTATAAATAAAATTGAAGTGAATATTATATAAAGACTTGTTATTAACATAACATAATAAAAGAGTGCTGTTAATTCGACTATAAAAAAAAAAAGTGTTGTCAATTGATAGTTTATTACACATCTTAATGAAACCATCCCTTTTCAATTTGGTTGGAAAATATCATCGTCCTCTTTATTTGGCATCAAGGTATCATTTTTTTTTTTAAAGAATACACCCCACGTTTCTGCAGAAATAAAGAAGAAAGAAATACACCCCTCCTCAATAAGGAGTTAAGGACATGCAATAATATTTAAGTTTCACATTCACCGTGATTAATTATACAAAAGATTAATCATAAATTTTGCATTCCGAAAAAGATGAATGTAGTCTTACATGGACCGACAGCCAGGTACCAAAGGTGACGTGGACTCTCTCTTTTTGGAGAGGCATCACCGAAAATTAAAAAAAAAAAAAAAGACGTGGAAACTGTCGCAGAGGAAGGTAATTAGGACTTAGGAAGCCGCAAGGAAGGCATGCCCCATAGCAGCAGCACCAACAACGCTAGTGGCCGAATCGTCGTTTTGGCATCGCACTTGACTTCCATGGCTTCAGAGAAGGAAGCTGCTCTCGCAACCACTCCCTCCGATTCTCCTACCATGTAATCTTCTCTTTATCTTCGTTGCTTCTTCAGTCTCTTTCCGCACTTCTTCGATATTTCATTGCGCATTCCTAGAGACTATTGCTTCATTTGGCTGAATACCTGCTTATCTGGCGAATCTTTGTGCAAGTAGCCTGTTTAATGTCCCGGCTATCTCGTTCTAGGCGTAAAAACCTAAAATTTGGGCATTTTGATGTCGTCTGATTTAACGGGTAAATGATATTTTTTTTTACCAGAATTTAACGGGTAAATGATTAAACGCTTAAGTACATGATCGGTTGGAAAAAGTGGAGTTCGCAACTCTGACGGGTGATTTTTGGTGCTGTTTTCAAGCTGTTGTTCATTTGTTTTTATTAGTTTTTCTCCATCTGTTGGGATTTAATTTGATTGTCCAAAATGGATATGCCGGAATCTTCACCCACAACGCAACCATAGATTTTTCCCTCTTTGGAGTCTGTGGCGGTAGCAGTACAATAAATTTTTTCTTGGTTGTTAACACTCATCAGTGCCTAGGACTGATGGGCTCCTGTTTTCTCCGTTGCTCAGATTTGACAAGATCATCAACAAGGAAATTCCCTCTACCGTGGTTTACGAAGACGATCAGGTACTTCCTGATGTTTTGTGTAACCTTTGTTTTTCTTAGTTTTGTGTCCTTTTGTTTTTCCATTATTTTTTTGGGAGCAGGGATTCATTGTGCATGCTTATAGACGGAGCAGTCACTACGCTGTTTCTATTGAGAAATATTGTTTATGGACTTGGGAGGGGGGAATGAACGTCCTTTATGGATGTTTTCCTGAGGATAGCTGATTCAATTTCTATTTTTATTTAGGTTCCTTCTCTCTTTAAATTTATTCCCTTCCCAAAAGAAGTTTCATTACATGCCCAGAATATCATTTCTTGATCTATGTTGTCAGTCTTCGCTTAACTGTAGATATCGATTTCAATTGATGTTTGATTTGTTAATTGTGAAGGAAACATATCCTGATTTTGAGTTGAATCCATCAAGTACTATGTTTTGTTTTGAACTAATAATTGGTTAACACTAGTAGTGAAGTACCACTAACTTGCAAAATATATACTGAGCAAATTTTTATTTTGGTATTTTTGGTAGCATATTATAAATTTATTTCTTTCTATGTATATTTTTGAACTTCAAAGTGAGTCGTGGGCAGAAAGTATTTTTTTAACCCTTGACCATGGTTCTGGTCATCATGTTTATGGTCTTAAGTCTTAATAGCGTGTCACCCCAAGCGATCATCCTATTTTGCTTGCATTTTCGGCAGGTCCTTGCTTTTAGGGACATTGCTCCTCAAGCTCCAACGCATATCTTAATCATTCCTAAAGTCAAGGATGGGTTAACTGGTCTATCCAAGGTACTTGTTAATGGGTGGTGAACTTGTGATCTTTCTGTTACCATCTTGATAATTTGTTGTCTCGGGCAGTTGTGTATTAAAAAGCATCACAAATATAACCATGCTAAGTATAGAGCCCGATCATCAGGGGCATCGGATATCAATGGCTTTTCATTTATGATATGGGTATCAATTTTGACATTCATATTATTACTTGTCTTGGTCACTTTTTCTAAGCAGTGGTTCAAGAATCTATTTGACCACTTTGCTCATTTATTCGAATCAAGTAATCAACTATGTGTTTAGCCATAATCAGAGAGCTAATGTTAGACTTGACCAACATTTTAGCTAGGCATGCAACGCCATATTGAGTACTTGGGTGAAAAGATTTGGAATAAATTAACAAGATAAGAACAAAGGGAAACACATTAAGCACTAGGAAGCAATTATCCTTTTCTTGTTCATGAGTTCACTGAAGAAAACGTGGGGAAGGCTGTTCATTCTTCCTGCATGAGTAGAAAGGAGGGGACACAAAACTTATTAAATTGGTTTACGCGTATTATTTTCTTACAATAACTCAATAGATGATCGTTTTGCACTTACTCCACTATTATTTCCTATGTTTTTTCCGAATCATTCCTCCATTATGTTTTGTTTCCATTTCGTTCCCAGTAGATATATCATAAACTAATTGGGACATATATGCTATGCGTTGAGTGATGTGCATGGTTTCATAGACACATTTTTTTAACTTTATATCCATTGTGGATGTGGATTATCTGCTTTATTTTACTGTGCGTGGAAACTTTCAACGTTGTACCAGCTTGGTTGCACCAAAACTGTCAGCTCCTGCTATTTGTGTGCTTGTATCCTGATTTTTTAATGGTGCTGTTGTCCAGGCTGAGGAGAGACACTGCGAGATTCTTGGCCGCCTTCTTTACACTGCAAAGCTGGTTGCAAAGCAAGAAGGTCTTGATGATGGTTTTCGGGTTGTAATCAACGATGGTCCATCAGGATGTAAGTGTTCTTCTTGTCGAAACAGGAACTATGCTAGGAAAAATGCTGAGGAACCATATAGTCCAGTCGATGTAATGAGCCATTAGAAACTCAATGAATTAGTCAGTCGATACGACCATAATAAACATCTATTTTACAGAGGTTATTTTACTGCCGGTCAGTACAATGTTTGTGTTTTTGTCTATCTCATTTAAGCTTTCTTTATATGTTTAACATTCATATTGAATTATTTTTGGCAGGGCAATCGGTTTACCACATTCATGTGCACCTCCTTGGGGGACGACAGATGACCTGGCCTGCCGGGTAAACTTTAGGAAAGGATTCACAGTGAACCATGTGTTGCAGGAATCTCTGGGCAGAACACTTTTATTTGTCCTAATGCTATCTAAATTAAAAATGGGAAATCATGGTCAATTAGTAGTTCTACATCTAAGTGACTATGATTACTTGTTGATGATGATTAGAATTAAATATGGCTAAAACTAAAACTGTCGAGTAGAATTTTATCCTAACTGAATCACTGTGCTTTCTTGATCCTGATTGTCCGTACAAAGCTCCAACGTAACGTTTGTGGCATTAACGTTCTGGATTCTGTCTACATAACTTGTGTCTAATTTCTTTATTATTGCTGCTACCATCATTGGGGTAATTACGCCTGACAAGTGAAGTTTTTCTTGCTCTTTCATGCACTCCTGATTCCTAAAGGATAGCGAAATCCACTATATTCACGGGTGGGACTACATTTAAACGAGGTTCTTCAATTCAGGTCTTCCACTGAACATATTACATATCATGATGAGATTATATCTTTCTTTTATTTTCAATGTTTATTAGGTCTCTTTAAATTAAAAAGAATAAATTATTGAGATTATATAAAGTTTTGTTAAATTGTGTGTGTGTGTCCCCTTAATTTATAAAATTTATGCAAAATGAAAAATAAAAGAATAAGACGATTGTTGGCCAAAAAAGACCTCTTTTTCCACTACATTTCGGAGGATATCGGAAATCATCATCTGAAAAAAAAAATAAAAATAAATTAGTTCTTCAAATGTCTCTGATGCATCTAAAGTCTAAACCACACCTAGCAATGGAAAGTAGAAGCTGGATGCTGCTAGAAACAAACCACAGAAGAGACTAATTTCACCGACACTTGAATTCCTTAATCGTTGGATGGTATAGTCAGAAATAACATCTCTGTACTTCAATAAAACCCAACACTTAAATACGAAGTCACCTGCTACGTCAATTAAAAGCTTAGGTTTCACTGTTTACTATTCTTCTGCATTTCCTGAGAGTGCAAGTGATGCTTGTCTCTATTTGGTGTTGCTGCAGATATTTTCTTGCCCAGAAATCTATTGTAATTCGATTCACGAATCACGAGATTATACACATTTAGGCAATATAAACAGTTTGTCTGTTTGGTTTGTGTAGAAATGTATTGTAATTCGATTCACGAATCATGAGATTATACACATTCAGGCAATATAAACAGTTTGTCTGTTTGGTTGGTGTATGGTTTTTAGGCTTTACCTGTCCCTATATTTTAGCTCTGATAGAATTCCTTTTTTTTCCCCCTTGTTTGTGTGTCAATTAGCTGTGATAGACTTGAGTATGAAATATTACCGACAGAACCTGAAGAATCTCGAGCACGCGATGGAATGAATGAATATGACTCCAGGGTCCCATTTAGTTATTTAAACAAAATGGAATGGAATTGAATGAAAAAAAAATAAAAATAAAAGTAAAATAATTAAAGGAGATAGGTGAAAGCATTTATTAAAAAAAAGATAATTTAATTTATAAAATTAAGAATTATAATTTATTAACTTTTTTGAGGTGTAATGATTTTTATATATATAATATATATATTAATAAGTTTTATTATATTTATTATAAGGGAGAAGAGTCATTAAATTTATTTTTATTTTTATTTTTTTAATCTATTTTATTTTTTTTTTTTTAATAACCAAAAAATCCTGGTCCTTACTGGGACAGAAAGAATTCGATATTTGCAGGGTTTTAAATCTGAAACTTCGTTATTGATGGAAAACTTTTAAATTCAGGTTAGTAAAAATTGCGTTCCCGACCTCAATCTATCACCGCTGTCTGTTAGTTACGTTTTGTTAACGGGTGAAATATGTTGCCTTAACAAATCACGACGGACCTTTGTTTCTTCTGTTCAGTGATCATAAACTTTCACGTTTAATTTCCTTTGGATTTAAGCTAGTGCTGGTCCCAAATGAGAGAAAATGAAGTTATTTTTCCATTCACAATTATCAAATCCAAAATCTTATCAGTGTCGATTTATTTTCAGTTGTTATTCGAGCGTGGATGACGAAGACATTCATAGTAAATGAACTTTGTTGGAACCATGTAAGTTAACCTGCTTTGTATCAAAGAAAACGTTAACCAATCCTAATTAACAGAATACATCTAACCAGCCACCAGGAGAGATATATAGTCTAGTTTCTTCCGAATATATGAACGTGACTAAGAGCTTAGGGTCTGAGGATAGAGATTAGCCTGATCAGTTAGGGTCTGAGGTTTGGGTTTCACTCCAATTCTCGAAATAGAAAACTTCGACATACCAATCATTGAAGCGGCTTCTGTGATAAGCCTTCTTGTGATTCAGCATCTTCTTCTTCATAATACCGCCATTCATCTTCTGCAAAGTCAAAGGGGATGACTCTTTCTCAGCTTCTTCCACAAGCTTATGAATCTCATGTGGCCCTCCTGAAGGGATCCTAGAAATCCTCATGGGATGCCTTCCCATTAGTCTCTTCTTATCACTGATCTCAGCAGTGACACGATCTGGCACAGTGAATGAGATTCCAAACTTACGTGGTGCTGACCTTATGGTGCAGTGCTTCAAGCTCATTCTCTCTTCTGGGAATATAATAGCCTCTGGTTTCTTGCTTGATATATATATTCAACCCCAAGAAGTGTTATCTGATTTATAAAGGTTGAAGAAGGCGGTACTTGACCAATTCTCAGGAAGTCACAAGGGGCATTTGGAAAACCATGGACTTTCATGGCTTTTCAGTTTTCAGCAACTTTTGTAATGATTTTGTGGACCTATGAAGAGGTAAAAGGTCGGGTGCAGAGTAGACTTCTGGAGTTCTGACACTACTTGGATAAGAACGAATCGTACTTGGCACGCCGCAAGATATAGCTATTAAATGGGCTTAGGTGTGGTAATCCATTGTTTAAGGCCTCCCATGGTTAGCCCACGGTATGCTTCTTATTGTCTGCTTTAAATTTAGTTACCCTCTCAGGAAAGCTAAGGATAATATTCTTCCTTGAGTTTTTCTTTTGTTGAAGATCTGAATGATCCCATCAGAGTTTGTCATCCTGCAGCAATAATGTTTTCATCCAGCCCAATAAATTTGACATCTCCTAAATGAAAACTTTAATTAAGTTTCAGCCTTATTCTCAATTCTTCATCAGTTAGATATCATTTTTTTCATCAAAAAAATTAATTATTTAATCTTTATAATTTTAACTCAATTATAATTTAATCCTTAAATTTTAATTTATTATAACTCAATCTTTATAGTTTTAACTCAATTATAATTTAGTCCTTAAACTTTTTCTTTAACAAATTAATTTCTATAATTTTAACCACTTAAATATTAATCTCTATATTAATATTATGAAGATTAAAAATAATTTAAACTTTTAATATTTATAAATATTAAAAGATTTTAATAATTTAAAATATCAGTAATAAATTTTAACATAATATTTATCTTTATTAATATCATAAATATTAAAAGTTCAAAATATTATAATTTTAATCTCTTAATCTTTAAATATTATAAATATTAAATGTTTAAAAAAATTTTAATCTTTATAATTTTATTTTTTAAAATATAAGAATTGATATTTAAATGGTTTAAACTGTAGGGACTGAATTGCAAGAGAAAAAATTTAAATATTAAATTACAATCAAGTTAAAATTATAAGAACTGAATTATAATTGAGTTAAAATTATAAAAATCAAGTTACAATGAATTAAAGTTCAGACATTAAGTTACAGCCATGTCAAAACTACAGAGATCAAATGATTATTTTTTTTTTCATTTACCAAAATATAGGGCATTGATAATTATGTTATAATTTTGAAAAAAGTTAGGTGAAACTTTAGTCTTTTAAAAAGAATATATATCTTTTTGATTATTTTTCATTAAATATCTTATATAAATACCTTAATAATAACAATTAAAATCCTAATAAATTATTTTTTTTAAAAATAGTAGAGAATAATAAATGGTATAGGGGTATATTTGAAAGGATAATTACAAAAACTACTTCATATAAGTTTTTAAGAGACCTTAAATTGTGACTCCAAGGAACATATCAATAGCATTTTTTTATTGTGTGCATGTATTATTTTATTAAAAGCAATCCTATCCAAATATGATTGAGTCATAATTGTGATCATTTCTTCCAGCGGAATTCGAACCTTGTGAATAATTTTACCCAGTACGATACAACTTGAATTTTAAGACCTTTCCATTTTTGTATGATTTGTTTGAATTTGAACTGTGTTTTGGTCAACAACAAACAGAGTGTGTGACATGCACGTAAATAGCTAACATTGTTTTTCTGGATACACAGGAATCTTATACATCTTGAATCTATCTATCGCGTTACATTCATGTTGCTGGCAATAATTAATCAGTAGGGAAGTGATTAGATTTTCCTCAAATCATGATGATGACGGCTGAGCTATAAAAGCCACTTTTTATGTAAAACGAAAACGGGACCAGTTCCAGCGCCCAACTTCCCCACGTCGAGCTTCAAAAAGTCTCAGGCACATGCAATGGTCCCAGCAAAGTTACATTAAAAGGACCCTCCACTTTCCGTGCGTTGTTCTTATCTTTTTAAAACCCTAACGACAAGATAACTTTGTGAATGCCAGTACTGGCACCATCGAAATTCTCCCATTCTTAGTTTCTCTTTCACTCAATTCAATAATCTCAGCGTCATGCACAGAAGGAGCGGTTTTATCTGATTGATTGTCTTCTTCATTCTGCTGGCCAACAATAATCAAAATTATTCTTCATAAAAACAACGAAAGTGCAATCTCCTAAATTTCCAATATCAGTGAATATACTCCTGATCATCAAACCAAAATATTAATTTTTCTTACATAAAGAATAAGCTTAACACGCATTAGCTAGCTACAATCTCTTAGCCACAATGGAACACGGATTCCGCGATGGATGAAATCTGATACATAATCCCAAAACATGCATGCATGACAGTGGAAACCGCAGGGCAATATTCAGAAGCAGGAAAATGGCTTATATAGCAAAAGCAAGGGAAATGTGAGCAGTTTGACACATTGCGAGCGGTGAGCCGACGAAATGGGTTGTCGGTGTTTCCCGAGGAGCTTCGCCGCCGTCGCCGGATTCCGATGCCTTAAGAGACAAGTTGCCAGCACCAGTTGTGTCAAATTCAAAACCTTCATCGGTGCTCATGCTCCAATCGATGCTGCCTTCGCTTGGCTCGTACTTCTCTGTTATTGTTCTTGTCATTGATTCCTTACTCTTGAACAAGAACCCACTATTTATAACGGTATCTAACGGTTTTGCATCGAAGTTAGTTCCTGACTGTGTCGATGTGGCTTGAGCGGGGAAGCTCACGATCTCAAAAAGATCCGAACTTGCATCGCTTGCGGCGTCGTCGTCGACGATTCCGGACTTGGGACTCTGTGAAACACAACTGGTTTCAATATAGGGGGGGCCAAAAACTTCCAAAGAATTACCGGGTGGATCTTCTTCTACTGATTTTGGGTTTAACAGGGGAAAGGTGAAGCCATCGGTAACAGGACTAACAGAGGCCTCCGAGGCCACAGCTTGCTGGGGCTGCAAAATCACAGGAGCTTCTTCATTCTCAACCGTGTCCAGTATTTCAGATTTGGTGGCAAACGCATCCGGCTTCGAAGGTTTCTGCTTAACCCTGTTGTTGGAAGATATTGGAGTCCTATGAGCCTCAGAATTGTTGGCTGCAATCTCTGACATGGCAGACTCTTCTATAGGGGTCTTCAGATTGGATTCAAGATGCGGCCTTTTCTGATTCAGATAGCCTCTAGCATTTGGGTTGTGTGATAGAAATGGTGGAGGGGGAGGAGGTGGTGCTACATGGGTTTTCATTGCTGGTTTCATCTCCTTAACTTGAACAGATTTCTTATCAGCGCACGGACATCTCCTTCGGCAAAGCCGTATAGGTTTCGACAATGAAGCTTTTATTTTCTTTTTGAGGTCAGTGGAACGAGATTGATTGCTCATAGAGACTGGTTTCGCTCCTGAAAGAAGATGAAACAAGCCAGTGCGGCTTTTATTCCAATTGGCTTCTGACGAGGCTGCTGTTGCAGTTAGCGCAGCAAATGAACGATCTGTGTAGTTTCTGGGGTCAGCGTAGTCTGTAACAACATTATCATGCATAGGAGAAGCTCTAGTGTTGCTGGTAATGGTCAATTTTTGAATCTGATGATTGTTTACTTGGTTGAAGAAGCTCTTGTGGGCATCGAAAATACTAAGCTCAAAGATGGGATCATCTATGGTGAGATAAGAAGAGAAATATGCATCTATATCTATATTGGTCCGTGACTTCAAAGCCAGGCTTCCATGAAAGGTCTTCGTCGAAGCTGGCTTTTCCATTTTGCCTACTCTTGGGGAAATTAGAATAAAAATGTGATTAGGAAAAAAAAAAAAACCCAAGGATAAAATGTGAATAGGGAATGCTGAGTTGTTGCCTTCAAAAATGCTTTATGCTGACATATATAGACCAGGATTGGTGCCATCTTGTCTTGGAAACCAATCATATGGCAAGTAAGAACAGTATATTCTAGTATTTCATGAATGTAGAGATAAAGTCTAAATTTAATAATAGAGCATTCCCTATATTCTATGATGCCTATGCAGTAGAATGATATTCAGCCGATTCATCTGCTACTTGGCCATTTGGATGCATCATGGCCACCTCTCAGCGCCAATTTCTTTCAAGGGTTAATCATTGAAACGATTTTCTCAGCGTGAGCTAAAGGTAGCAATAAGCTATTATATTTGTATAAGTGATCATAATAACATATTTTCAGGATTTAATGCAGGATAATTTTTTGTTGTCCGCAAATAATTGTTGGTAACCATCATCTTTAACCACTCATGTCGCATTTTGAACTAACCGATTAATAACAAGTATTTTTAAATTAGTTCCCGTAAGGTAGAAAACTATGATATTGACATTTGATGGCTTTTCTTTTGCAAATTTATTGAGAACCTAGGGTCATGCATCTTGCCCATTTTACCATCGGAGACCTAAAAAGTGAATGAACCACTTTTTCTTCTGATGGATTTTTCCCCAAAACTCAAGATCTGTGACCATTCCTCACCTTTCTTTCTTTCTTTCACTTTGTGAGTAAGCTTTATCTTAATTTGGCCGCGTGATAACTTGAGTGGCATTGATTTAAAGAGATCAAGAAAAGAAGTAAGGTCATCTGATCTGATCTGACATCAAGCATGAGGCAGCTAAAAATGTGAATGTCATGTGAGGGCCCATTTCATTTGACATTTATGAAAGGTCTCTCCAAACCTTGAACAGACCATATAGAAGTGTCTTTAAGGGGTTACCCAAAACGATCTTTTCAAAGTTGGATTGATTTTGGAAGCAGAGCATGGTGGGTCACCATTAACCTTCCGGGTAACATGCAATGCTTTGTTATTGTTCGCTTTTTTTAGACCATTCATGTACGGCTATTGCCTGAGGGGAACGGATTTTTCTCTCAGTAAAATTTTGGCTATTCACATATATGATTTTCTCAATCAGGAGTCATGGGATATACAGTAATTGATATCAATGGAGGTTTGAAGATCCCTCTCTCAGAAGTCAGATGTTTGGTCGAACCAGTAATTGGTGAACATGAAGCAATTCATATGAGAATTCTTTAAAATTCATGAGAATTCTTTAAAATTCACCTTGGAATAATTAATTTATGTCATATACACAGTGTGTGTAGGTAATAGGTAGAAATTCTGGAATATTTCATTATCAAAGATAGAGTTTGTTATGTTTGCTATCAGCATATTCTATTATTTGAAAGTCATCAATTTCCAACAAGAGAATAACATAAATATTTATTCATGTTCACATTGTCTCGTTTGTCTCACTTGATGAAAAGAAGAGAAAAGAAAACCCAAAGAGAAATGAAGTTGGATGAATATAGAGTTCAAAGATGATAGCTCAGGATTAAGAAAATACATAATATTTATATAAAAGTGATTCTGTCTATGTCCTGGAAGGAAATGTCATAATAGATCGAAGGGGAAACAAGAAGATTCAGAGTCACACAAAATCATTGGCCCTCAACCCAAGGAGAGGACCTAATTCATCCTTTTATGGAGGCAGGGACAATGATCACTAACAGTTTATCAGTGATCATCATTCATCATCAGAGAATCCGTTTCAGCTACGCAATCATGCCTGCCTGGGTTAATTTCATGGACAAGGAGGATATCTTCGTCGGTTTTGCAAAGCAATCTCAAACTCGAACAATAGCTGCAGAAAATCACCAAGGAATTATGATCAACAAAATTATATGTAGTGTTTGTATTTTATAGAATGAATCCTGGAAGTTTCACAACCTTGGCAAACAAAACCTGATGATTTGAAGGATATGAAAAATCCAGATACAATCCATGCACAAAGGGATCCCATAGAATAATTGAACGAGCACAAATACCTGAAAATCCTTGTTGGCTTCTCACTTAAGCAAGGCTCTGATGTTCAGTTTTGCTTTTCCTGATATTTGATGCCCGATGGCGAAAATAGATAAATTGGATTAAAATCTAAAACTGATTTTAAGGAAGGCATAATTCTGCCAGATCACGTTGTGCAAATTGCTCAAGAATCTCATGTCTCCGTTCTCTTTCTTTTCGCATCTTTCAAAAGTTGAATGTCAGGAAATCATTTGATTTTGTTGCGTACTTGGATTGCTTCTTCATGCTCTAAACTCCAATCCTATTTATGTCTAAGAGTTCGGATAATCAACATAGTGAACTATTAAATTTAATAAGCTAAATTAGACAGTCTTTTGATCTTAAACAATTGTTACTTTACATGAAATTCTCTTTCTCTAGCAAGATTAATGTGCAACAATAAAGATAGAACAGAAGGATACGAAAATATCAAGAAAGATACATCCTGCAGCATCCACCAGCCAAGGTAGATTTGGTCTAATTTTTGACCATTCCAAACTGCATGCAAGTATGCTACAGAGAAGACAAAGAACAATTTCATGTATATATGTGAGGATGTAAAAATTCATTTTTACCAACACTTCAAACGGGGACGAGAACATATAACTGTCAACTGGCAGCATACCTTCCCACATAAGTGGCGTTCCCTATCAAAGCTAAAAAAAACATCAAAGGATTGAGGCCCTGCATATCATAAAAGACAGCTATGAACATTGTTGCTTCATATAACCAGGTAGAAAAGTACAGCTCTAATATTCTATAGAGGATATCTTGAGAAGGGAACAAGATGACTCTGCGATACTCATGTGAGTATTCACTCACTTGCTGATTGATAATATCAGCTTTGACAGTTAGAGTTTCTTACCTCAACATTACCCCTTTTTATCTGCAAAGTTGATGAAAACTCTGTCAATACAAATGATCCAGATACGTACACAAATAAAGCCACTCAAAGTGTATGGTCTACTAAAAATGCAATTTTATTCAATAATTCTTGCAGTTACCAAATATACCACAATAACTACTTCCAATTGTTTATTGTGTTCTTTGTCAATAATATGCAGAGCATTTCTTGTTTTACTAACATACTTTTCAAAGTCCAAAAGCAAGTATAACAATGATGCGATGGATTACTACAGTCCACGTCCATAATTATGCAATAGAGATTTCTTGAAAGTAAACTTTCTGACCTAACCAGTACCAAAATATTACTTACATTTAAATGAATCTGAGGAAGTCTACCACTCATATATAATGCTGCCATTCCCCACCCAAGTAGAACCCCAATGCCACTGCTTCCTTCTGAATCATGCTCTAACAACTGAACCCCATTAGCCTGCATTTGCTTAACTTAATGATCAATAGGACACTGGAAATTCCCTGTTTCCTTTAGTATGTTTAACATCACTATGATCTTCCTGTTTGTGAAGGGAAAAGTTTATAGAAGAGAGTTGAGTCCGATTCTGCAACCCATCCCAATTGACCCAGAAAAAGTATTAACTTTTAAAAGAATATGATGCTGAATAGGCCTGTTCCTATTCTTATAGGATGCAATGACTAAATTGTAAATCGTCAGATGAATATCCAAGCAGCAACGAGCTTCACCTTACATAGGTAAACAAGAAGTAATTTGTATTACCTGAAAAAGCTTTCTACCAACTAGCATGACAAATTCATGCCTCGGAGATTTGACCATGGAATTAGGTTTTCTATCTGGTGATTGAAGCAGATTTAAAGCACCAAGTAAAGTGAATGTAGATACCTAAACCAAGGCCAGATACATAAGATATCAATGCAGGAGCACTCATAGGTATATTCACCCGTAAGATAGTTGAAGGAAGTTTACCAAACATAGAGTGTTTTTTTTCTTTAGGTCTGGTGCAGACTCTGGTGAAACAATTGGAGCAAGCAAGGGCTCCTCTTTAGAATCCAAATAGTCTGCAGAAGTAGGTGTCATTCTCTGGGCTAAAACAGAGCCAGCAGTGGGAGTATGACTTGTTGATAGAGATCTTGCTGACCTAATGTGTTCAAAACAAAAAGATTCTCATGACAATTTTTCTACATTACAAAATAGAAGCCTCAAGAACTCCAGTTACTTGCAAGCTCATGTATTTAAATCTCTGAATTTTCGACATCCTAATAAAGAAATACACTCAAAAGGAAAGCAAAATAAAGTGTACGTATTACAGAACACTAAGAAGAATTTCATCAAGATAAAAAGTTTCATATAGAATTTGAAGCTAATCGAATTTGAATTTGAGTTGAAACCAGATGTTCATAGCAGAATTTGCGAAGCACCTCACGGAATATTTTATACATTTATGCATTCTTTGTTTTACTTTTTTCAATCAATCAAGTTTCAATAATTACTTTTTCTTCAATAAAATAATGGTAAGGAGCTTGAGTAGGATAGGGCAGAGACTTGAAACACAGCTTTCCCAGATAATCATATCTTTTAAGACAAAGGAGAGGGCATTGCTAGTAAATAATAGAACATGATTAACGCATCCTTCCTCGAAGGCCATAGATATTTGTACTATGTACTGAAAAGTATTTGACAAACCACATCTGAATTTTTAATATGTACTCTTTTCTAGATAAAGGAAATTAAATATAACCTCTTATACCAAAACACATCAGGAGATGGAAATTTAAAGAGAAGGTTGAGCACAAAGGTGCATTTTGAGTAATTCTCAAAGAGAAAGATCAATTACTGGTAATATAATTCTCCTCTAGCGAATATCCGAGGAAGGGCTGGAAGGGGAATAGGAGAACTGTAACCATTGTCTGTGCTGAAAGCTTCAGCTTCATTACACTGGTAAGAAATATCACTGCTTTTCATTCCTCCACTATTGCTGTGTGCAGCTTTTGGTGTCTCCGCCTGTCCGCGCATGAATGCCAGAATAAAATCGAAATATCCAGGAATTAGAGCATAACAAAAATATCTTAGACATACAATACTTATTTAGAAGACTCTTTTATACCTCCGAATACGATCATATAGTTCCAACTCTCGAGAGACACAGGGAAAATGCTACCAAATTATGAATCTAGAGGTGTGCTTTAATACTCTAGTTAACTAAAAAGATATCTTCTAATGTGAATTCTATCCTAAGAATATGATATTTCATTGTCCTTTAGTGTGAAATAACTACTGAGATTACTTAAAAAAAGGTTCATGAATCCGACCAACAATTTCACATGAAGTGGATTGGACAGACAGAAGCACAGTCACAGTGTATTGCACAATGAAGTTAGTATCATTTAGGTAATCATCACCATAAAACACACAAAAGTATGTAATGAGGTGCACATATGTCGTTAAAAGGAATGCGCTTTGCACCTTGTTCTGTCTGTTGCATATGAATCGAGGATGTATGTATCCGTAGAATATGGTTTGTAAAGTAAGTACAAGAGTTATCAAGGTATACAGCTGCACAACAATCCGAAAAAAGCAAGGTCACTTCAACTAGTCGTGGCTGGGAAAGTCAGATATAAGAACGATTTTTGTCAGCCTTCAGTAAGAATTTTTACCAGTGCCGTATAATATTGAGTCGGAAGCTGCAATATAGATATGGAAAAGGTATCACTCAACATATCCTTAATAGTTTGAGCAATAATATATGTATGTATGGATGCATGGGCAAATGGTGAATACAGTTTCAAAATAAATTCCACTAAAATTGGGTAAAAGAGCACTTATGGTGATCCTTGAAACAACCATCTAAGGGAATGAAATGAAGAGAGCCTAAAGGAAGCTAATGACTAGTTACTCAAAAGGAGATTAAGAAAGGTACAGTTGACATTGCAAATCAAGTGTCCTTAAGTAAATTGAAATCTAGATTATCCAAAGACTAAGGTATGCAAAGCCAGAAGCGAATAATCTTAGCAGTGATTAGACCATGAAAAAAGGTTCAATTGCTGGTAATGAAATCTCAAATTTGTTATTCAAATTTGGCTGTTCCAGTTTTCCTTTGGTGGGCATGTGCTGCAGTGAAAATTAAAATAAGGCAGATTGTCATGGCTGCTCAAGATATCATGAGCCTTTGCTGAGATCAAGACATATTACAGCGACGTCATCACTTTCAGACTTCCCACATGGCAGATTTATCATTCTGCATGCTCTATACATCGACTCATCATTCAGTATTACGTTGTTTAGAATATTTAAGACATTTTTGATCAAGCTGTTCAGGAGTTGTCAGGGTTTTAATGTTCTGTTAAGCAATTTCCACGCTGCAGAATCCTATCTTAACAGAAAAGGATATGCTCTGTTTTCGTAAAGATGTAGTTGTTGCTTCATGCAAGTTACTGAAGTAAAACTTGTACAGATCATGACTAGAAGAAAATCAACTTGACATTCGCAAGAAATCAAACACTTAAATACTCACAGTAGCAGGTTCTAACTCGCAGCCTATGAGGTTGAATAGATCTCTGCACAGGGCAACAAAAATGAACAGTATCAAAATATTGAACATAGTTTAAGAACTCCAAGCTGATATTTTGAGAAGATTCCATCAAAGAGAGAGAGATCAATAGAACACGAGAATAGGCAAGCACATATGAACATCATTATAACAATGTTAGCAGCTTCTAAGAAGTCAAAAAGAAAAATGGCTAACCCGACAATCCATGTCGTCAAGAAAAAGGTCGAGAGGCCCTCAGTGGATTTGTTTCTGAAGTTTGTGATAATTTGCGGAATCTCAGCACCAACCCAAGAAACAACACTGATCATCCCTAACGTCAAGGAAGCCGTCTCCTTCACACTGAAAAGATTCTTTACAGTCCATTGTGAGCAATGCTGGTCGCGAGGACACAACGTCATTAAGTCCCCAAAGACTCCCATTAAATCAAAGTATCTACGCAGTTCCAGAAATTCAAAAAAACCAATGAAGAGTCCCTCCTGGAGAAGACAGGACATACTGATCAGACTACGCCATAAGAAGCCAAAGATGGCAATAAAATAGTATATCCCGTTGGAAGTGTCACGAAATAATGTAGTGGAGTAATAATATTGGGGCTGTCTTTTAGAAAGTAACCATTTTTGCAATCTAGTTAACGCATGACTTCGATGTTCCTTGAACTAAACCAAAAGGCAGAGAAGGTTCGCTCTGCTCCTAGAAGTAAAAGACTGTAACTACCCGAAAACAGAATTAGAGAAGTAGTAAACCATAATTAAGAAAATTAAGTTATGTTGCAACAAATCTGGGCTTAGACAGAAGGGCACGAACCCATAACCAGAGAGGGAGCGGGCAGAATATTCATAACTGTTGTCAACAGTATGAAAATGCGAACGGATGCGCCGAATTAAATCATTGTCAAATAAAATATTGTCTTCAACAATTATTAATGGTCGCCACAATCTCGCTTCAGTGGAACACGAGAGATGACAGGTCATTAGACGACAAAACTCACACGTGAAACGCAGAAAAACATCACATGCACGGAAAGATGAATACCCAGAAAAGACGAAAAGAACCAAATTTTGGATACACTGAAAAACTCAGTTTCATGCGAGACAGCGAGAGAGACTGCGCTGATGCTTTCGAAAAGAGCTTTGGATTTCCGGCGAGGAAATAAAAAGATGCCGTTCTTCACTGCTCAATTAGCTGCGGGTGGCGGCTAACTCGGGGACGTGAAAACCAGAGCCATCCTTGGGCCTTCCATACATATTATAAATGAGCGAGATCGAAGGAGCGTGGACCAAGTTACGAAAACGATTTGGCATCGCGGTCCTCGTATCCATCGGAAAACTTGATTGGAGGACGAAGATTTCGTTATTCTAAATTTTCATCTACTAAACAATTTACCAGATTTGTTTGGTGCCACCTCCATCAGAAATTATAAGATATGAGAAGATTTGATGTACTAAATTTAACAAAAATCATTTATAATATTTTTTTGATATTATCATTTTTATTATATTATTTCTTTAATATTCCTTTATAGAGTATTAAATGAGAGATATTTTTAAAAATTTATATTTTTATTTAAAAAAAATTATAAAGTATATTTAATGAATCTAATTGATACATGCATGTGATTTTGTTTAAAAATATTTTATAATTTAAGAGAACAATAAATCAGTGAATCAACCCTCCTTGAATAGCTTAATATTTTATTCGATTAGTTTTATTTTTCAGTTATGTGTGTGTGTGTGTATAGAAGGAGATACAACATGCAATAAACAAATGGCAAGCCTTCAGCTAATAAGATTCTAATGTAGGTGGAGGTGGATTCTGATAGTTAAAAGAAAAAATTACTGGAATATTTTGAGTTTGATTTCTTTTTATTTATTGATTTACCCAACGTTTTCTAATAATAAAAAGAGCAATAAAGCTTAGTATGTGTAAATGTGAAAACTTCAATACATAAGCAGAGGCTCGCGTATGCTCACATGAGGGAATACCAGACCAATCCAAAACTTTAAATGCCAATAGAAGTTAATTTCATTGATAAGAATTTCTCCATTAAACCTTTTGTCAGACCCAACACTATTGCTCGTACAGGTATATAATAAAATAAAAGAAGAATCATTTTAAGATCTCACTCATTTCCTTAAATTCGGGCGTCACAAATAATTTTTTGAAGGGAATTTCGGTATAATTTTTCCTAAAACAAAATGAAAGTGCACGATGTGGGACCCCTTACTTCTGAACTTCTATTTTGGATCAAGCCTCGCTCTCTAACGAAGTTCATATATCTTTCTCTGTCTCCAAATAAAAAAACAAAAATTTTGGCCTACTGTCACTATTACAATAATGCCCTTCTTTTGATGGAACAGTACGCAAATAGAGACAGGGATGCGGGAGGCCTGTGTAAGAAATTTTGTGCGATAAAAGGTACAAGGAATCTGGAATACGCAGGAGGTTCAATTACGCTGGCTTCTAAAATTTGAATATATTACATTTTATACATATCCCTTTTATTTCAAAAGTTGAGTACTTGCCATTAAATTATAGTAGACACTCTTTTGCCCCGTATTATACCAAAAAAAAAAAAATTATAGTAGACATTTGTTTTTAGCATAGCAGTGAAAACAACAAAGCAATTTTATTTTTTTATTTTTACAAAAAGATAGACTAAAACATATAATACTCTCCTAAATTTTGACAAAGTTGTATATGACTTCTTTCTCACATTTAAATATTAAAAATTAACTTCCTAACTTTTAATCTTGTTTTTCAAAGCCTCTTGCTATTAATTAATTATTATTGTATTGATATAGTTATCGTCATATCATATTAATGCAATACACAGGTATAATGCATGGAAAAATATTTTTATTATTTCTAACATAGATTAAAGAAGAGCAAAATTATAATTTTTACTTTTAATACACATGACAATACTTTAATTTTTTTTATTTGAATGACATTGTTTTTATTGTTTACGAGTAACATAATTTAAGAAAAAAATTATAATTTTATTATTCTTTATCAATTAAAACATTATTTTATATTAAAAAATAAGAAAGAAAAATATCTGAAAGCTTTCATTGATAAAAATTATATAAATAAAAATTTATCATTTAATACAAGAAAATTATGATATTTTGCAAGTTGTTTTTAACCAAATCGATGCAAATTACCCATAGCAAAAAAATATTATTCTAAAGCAAGGATCATTTCATTTGCAACATATCAGTAACATATATTTTTGTTTAAATAAATACTGAAAATGTCATTCAAAGAAGAAAAAAAATTGTTACAAACAAGTAAAAGTCTAAAAAAAACAAAGTAGATAGCGAAATTTATATTACTTTTATTAATAACAATTTTTAAATATTTTTTCTTTTGTTTAATATAAAAGACTATTTTAATTGATAAAGAATAATAAAATTATAATTTTTTCTTAAATTGTATTGCCCATAAACAATAAGAATAATGTAGTTCAACTTAAAAAATGAGAGCATCATCATGTGTGTTAAAAATAAAAATTACAATTTTATCCCTTATTAAATTGTATTAAAAACTGATAAAAAATATTTTTGTCATGTCATTTGTTATGAGTATTGTATTAATATGACACGGTAATAACTATATTAATAAAATAATATTTAATTAATTAGGAGATTTTGAAAAATTAAATTAAATGTTAGGGAGTTAATTTTTAACTTTGAAATATGAGGGGAGTCATGTACAACTGTTTTAAAATTTAGGAGATTTTTGTATATTTTAGGCAAAAAGATAATTACATTAGAAGACAATTCAGTATAATAAAAATATTAAACTAATATTTCTTGGCCAATTATTATTTAGTCTTAAGCAAATTCTCAAATTTAATCTGCGAATGAAGAATATGGCAAAAAAGAAATCTGCCGACGAAGAAAATAGTGAGAGAATTTTATCTCCCCCCCCCCCTCTCAGTATAAATGAGTTTGCTTGATCTAGTTTGTTTATTAAGATTAAAAAATAAATAATTTTTAAATATTTTAAATAATTTATAGAAATAGATATATTTTATAAAATTTTATTAAAATATATATTATTTTACGTTTGATTATAATCATAAAAATAATTATTATTTACTATTTTAAATTTTATTATATTTTTGTGGATATTTGTTTATAAAAATAATTTATTACTTAGTCATTTTAAAATTTTATGATATATATTAATGTATTTTCATATTTTTATGACATTTTCTTCTATTCAGTATTATATTGTTTTCAAATGTTATTTAAAGTTACTTTTTAAAATAATAAAAAACCTATTTTTTTTGTTTTTTGGATACCCTAATTAAAACTATAAGCTACGTGAAGAAATCAAAGGGAAATGCATGTATATAAGATGGAACTAATGACACCAAGTTTATGTTAATTTTGAAGGTCAAGATTGTTAGATTTTTTATATTAAGTATATTAAAAGATAATATACTCTATCAAAATAAATTAAGTTATTTTAGTTAAATACTTTCTAAATTTATATACTTATGATATATTTTCTAATTTTTATATGTTTTACTTTTTATATGTTTTAATATTTCCTGTACTATTTTTTTGTTAATTCTTCTTCTTCTTTTTAAGACCTATTATAAACTTTTAGTTCATTGATACATACATGATCTATGTCCGAAACTTTAGCTCCAGCAAAACCGATTTTTTTTTTTCTCCTTTTAATTAATGGCAAGCATAAAGCGCAAAGTATAATGTCAGACAATAATGGCATTGAGGATAAATTAAAGATAGGGAATGGAGATGAAGGCAGAGCCACTGGTCCACTCAACATTCGCTACACCAATGGTTGAAACAAAAAACAGAAAACGAGGAAGGAAAAAAGAAGAAGAAGAAGAAGAAGAACAAGAAGCACCCTTGGCTCGATTTCAATATTCTCTCAACCATGAAGAAATGTAAAAGAGGAGGAAAAACACACACATGCCATTTAATGCTTTTTGGAGTCATAAAGATAGTAGTTTTATATATAAAGAATTGGAGAAAAATAACAAAAAAATTATATAGATAATGCCATGTGCAGTTTTATATATTTGTATGGTTCTTCTTTCAAATATAATAGCAGATGATTCGATTTGATGAAGAATAGGATATAGTCAGACTAAACAAACTTATTCCCTCCCAAGTGGTCCAAAAATGTGCCTATTATACGGCCATAACTTGTTTACTTTTGGGGAAACTTATATACGTATTGTGGCAGGATTGCAAGCAAGTCTCCAATGGAATAAATTCGGTCTCACTTGTGACAAATATCGATCTTGTTTATTGGCCCCCCAGCAACACTATACGTTCCTGTTTCCATTTTCAGATTGTAGATATGCATACGCGAGCATATTCTACTGCATAAAGGAAAAAGGATAAAATAATCCCAGTTTCTTCAACATTGAACATCATATGTACAAATCTAACCCATATGATGATGACATTGCTGATGAAGAGTATACGATTATTTAAACATGCATGCCACAGCTTCTGCAGCGACATAGAGCGAAAGAAGCATTCGAAGCTCTTCGTTTCTACTTCATCGATCACGAAAGCATTTTCAGAGTCTCTAGAACTGCAAGTAACATGTTTGGTTGGGAATTTGGGAAGAGCACACTTCCTAATGCTCTGTCTGTGATTACCTATCAATCATCTCTCCATCATTTGCACACCGATAACAATGATAAATATATATTCTTCTTCTATGACATGATCAAGTCTGTGACTGTGGATTCCATGGCTGTAGATTGTGGAACTGAAGGTGCACATGGACTGTGAAGGGTGTGAAAGAAGGATTAGAAGAGCAATCTCCAAACTAGATGGCAAGATCCTCATCATTCCCCTATATATACACTCTCTTTGACGCTTGTCATTTTTACTTATGATCATCTTCTGCTTTACACTTATATATGATGATAAAGGTGTGGATAGCTTGGAGATAGAGATGGAGAAACAGAAGGTGACAGTGACAGGGTACGTGGAGAAGAGGAAAGTGTTAAAGGTGGTGAGAAGAACAGGAAGGAAGGCAGAATACTGGCCATTTCCATACGACAGTGAATACTATCCATATGCGTCTGAGTACTTGCATGAATCTACCTTCACTTCTTCCTATAACTATTACATGCATGGTGACAATGAGAGCGTTCATGGCTATTTTCCAGACCAAGCATACTCCACTGTCCCCGATGGAACTGTTGCCCTCTTTAGCGACGACAACGTTCGTTCATATTGCTCCATCATGTGAACCAAACTGCTCTCTTTCTATTCACTGATGACATGTAAAACTCAGCAGTCGACATCATCACACAACTTCACTACAAGTTCATGAAGTTATTTTCTGACATAGGCTACAATATATATGCCTGAGATTGTGGATCATGCTAGTTTTGCAGTAACTGAATTCACCAGCACTCAGTAACATGTTTAGAACTTCAGATGTTTATTGCCATAACAAGAATTTTAACCAATCGTTGAAATGTGTTCAGCCTCATATTTAACAAATTTTCCTATGCTTTTATTTTCAAATCACTTTTAACATGTTCCATTGAATTAATGAAAACTTTAAAATTTATTAATTTTATATACAAGTTTTAATAAATTTTCAATTTTATTTTCATTAAATATATCCCTTAATAATATATTTTCTTTTACTAATATTTAATGAAAAGTAAAAGAAAAAATATAATAAAAAATTAATGACATATTTTATAAATACGACAAAAAAATTATTATCTCTATGTTAGGAATAGAATTAGAAGAATATGATCATAGCATGTTGCAGGGTTTGAAAGGCTAGGCTTAAATCACTATGCCGCGCCGGTCAATTTGGTAATGCAGCCCTTGTCCTGTTAGGTTGGCTCCCACTAGGCTTGAGGCATGTACAAGCCAAAACAATAGACAAATTTTGGCTCTTCAGTTCTAATTACACACTTATTCCCACGTGAAAGAGAAGATACTTCAAAATTTCATTTATTAGCATCTAAAATTCATTAAAATACGCAAAAAAAAAAGAAGTGCAAAGCCTTAAAAAAAATGTTCCACAAAACCAACGCGGGGGCGGGGTACACATAGCTTCTAAAAAGCTCAATTCTATATTGATATAGATACCTATACCTTCTCATCATTTCGAACAATGAGCTCGTTTGTTTGGGGGCGGGGTCTCAACACCCTCTACAAATAATGGTCAGCATAACTTTCAGACTTTCACTATACACTTTAAAAACCAGCTTTCTGAATAATCACATGTCACCTTTGGTATTTAGAGATTATGTACATTTTAGTTCAAAGATAGCAGACTTTCTTCTTCGTATTATCTCATCGTCTCTCGCCTTTCGCTTTCTGAATTGTCTCCATAGCTTCTTCAAATGATTTCTGAATTCAAAATATAATCACAAAGTTAGAAGTGAAACATTTAGTAAAGTCGCAATAGAAGAAGATACCACAGGTTGCCAAGGAGAAAAAAAGCACATTAATAGAAACAGCCCAGAATCGCCCACAAAAGACCTGCTTTATAATTTAGAGAAATTCCAATTTTAAAAGCACAATTTTGCAGCAAAATGCCCAAATGCGAAGATGTGTATGTAAATATTGTACCACTTTTTCCCTGGCATAATATTTTGAACTCATCTTGAAACAACAAATATGTATTTGAAGGTAAAATTCGCATTAGCACTGGACCGGAAAATCAAAGGCCAGGGATTAAGGTCCTATTTGGTTGCTAAAAAGAATGGAATTGAATGAATTCAAAAAATCAAACTAAAAATAAACTAAATCACATTTCTCTTTTATGATAAGCATGACAAAACTCGATACTACATACAACAAATGTGGGAATCACCACACCAAAAACCTTATGAATCACGATTATTAATCTCATGAGCTAAATTATTCCATCCCTTATGAACATGATTACTATCCCCTTCATATTTTGATCATCTTATTCTAATTTTTATCTTTTTCAATCCATTCCATTCCTTTCTAACATCCAAATGGAACCTAAATTGTAATGGCAATCGGGTACTTAAGAAAAGGGATCATCAAATAAAAGAGAAAAATCAGAAAATGACAGTATCAATAGTTTACCCCTGAATTTTGCATCTTCCATATGGCTTCTCTGCTTGAATCAATAATAACAATTGCCCCTAAGAAAGCTCTGCATTAAGATCCCATATCAGGATATGATATCATAAACTAAAAGCAGCCAACATTTTTATATCAATAGCATATTCCTCATAACAGACTAAGGATACCTAATGAGCGAATTTTTTTTTTTTTTTTGTTAGTGCTTATTTGGGAATGCACTCAATGTAGGCAAGAAGAAACCAAAGTAACAAATCTTATCTTCAGTGCCTAAAATACTTGGACATATCTCTCAACTTATTTCTTATTTCAGAAAAGTTCAATTATTAGAATATAATCTAGTCAAGAACACAGTGAGCAAGATGTGTCTTAATGCATTTTATATCCTATTTATTAAGATATATTTATAGACAAATCTATCGCATGCTGGATTGCTGGGCACATACTTTGAACAACAAAGTTCTAAATTTACAGTAAAAGAAATGATAATTCAGACTCGTTAAGCTTCCATATCTATGCAAAAAGCTATACCCACCCATCAGCAGGGGATCAATAATGATATCAAATTTGAAGGTATGACCAGCTTAATACATCATCCCCATTTTGAACACCCAACAAACCAAGCAGAAGTCCGAAAGTAAAATGCATTGGTTAGACAGCACACGGTTCAAACTAAACATAATGAGCAACAGATGAACAGAGTGAGAATGGACTTTATTTCAATAATCAAATTTTCAAATCTTTACTAACTGTTGAAACATATAAGTAGGCAGTTCGCTTTACTTCTTTTGAGCGTTGAAATCGAAAACACTATGCATGAGTTTCTCACTTCCTCAGAAGATATGACCAAAGATGAAATATACAACCCAAAGATGACCACCATTTTTGGGGGATGTTGGTGGTAAAGATTATCTATCGGAGCTAAACACATTTCAACTCCCTTAAACCTTTTTTCAGATATAAACATAATAAGATTTCCTATTCAAGAAACAAAATTATGGACAATCAGATTTCCAATTCAGGTCTAATATCCCATGTTGGAAGCATAACACAGTGCTGAGCACAAGAAAATAATAGATATTGCAACAAGCTCTTTTTTTTTTTTTTTTTTAAGATCTTAGAACAGTAGGCAAACGCAGAAGACGCGGTCAAACATACCACGGTGAGTCCCTTTTTAAAATTTCGAATGTGTCACCCAAAAAAGAACGAAACCATTGAAGAAAATGGATAGAGCAAAAGAGGTATTTTACCCTGCAAAACCAAGATTGAGAAGAAAAGCTCGTGTGCTCAGAAACCGAAAAGCAGACTCAAACTTGGATGTCATGCCGTCAGCACTAAAGCCGTACCCAGATTTATATCTAGGTTTGTAATTGTGAGTGCTCCCGTTCCTACCATAGTTATAACTATAATAAGAATAATAGTTGTAACCGCTACTCCCACCAGCAGAGAAACCACTTCTGCTAGCACCAGCCCGCGATCGTATATTGTAGTCCGCACGCTTCCGATCATCCATGAGCACCTCATAAGCCTCGGAGACTTGCTTGAATCTTAGAGTCGCATTGTCCCTGACGGCCCTGGGCGATTGAGAATGCTTGTCTGGGTGGCACTGAAAAGCCAATTTCTTGAATGCCGCTTTGATTTCTTCTTTGGTAGCGTTCCTTTGCAAACCTAGAACTTTGTAATGGTCCATGAAACTTAATTAAACACAATATTGATAAGATTCTCTATTTTTTCCTTGAAAATTCCCACCGGAAGACAGGAAGTGTCGGTGAAGGAGGAATAGACCGAAGATCACACACTTTCCGCTTCCGCAAGTCGGATGAGTAACAAATTTGGTCCATGACGCTAGACAGGGGCGCGCGGCAATGCAAATGCAAGTCGTGGCAGCCCCGTGACCGCTTCTTTGTTGGCACGCCGATTGGGCTTGGGCCTACAAGAGTTAGGCCCCATGTCCTATGGTCCGACCACTTCAAAGTTGAAATTCAACGGCCTTTGGCCCTTTTTTTGGGTATTTAAAAAATTGTTTTTAATATAATTCATGTAGCTGGTGTCCGAAGCTGCTTCTTCTTTTCTTGAATGAAGAAATATTCACTTCTTAACTGAAATTTGTTCAGAATTTGTAGGTCATAAATATTTAAATACTGAACTGTGTCTTGAATAAAATTAATTCTAACAAGAGAGTATTTGAATATTAAAAAAAATAGAATTTGTTCATTCCTTGATGAATAGTTGAGCCGGGCATGAATTGCGTTAGATGGTTTCCTTATTAAAATTTGATATTTATTTTTGTTAAAGAAAATAGGGAGAGAGTGTAACTTAATTTTATTATACATTATTTCCTTTGTTTTAAATTATAAAATATTTTTGGGAGAAATTGAGTATCTTCGAATATAAAACATACTGAAAAGATTAATATTTTAGTCTTATTTTAATATTATTCTTTTTTCACTCTCTATTTAATATGTTGAATTAAGAGTACTTTTAAAAATTTATATTTTGATTTTTGTAAAATATAAAAATAAAATTTTTAAGTATATTTAATAAAATTGATTAATATGTAAGAATTTGTTTAAAATTATTTTATAATTTATAACGGAAGTACGTTGGAGCCTCTAAGGACTTCGGCAATTATCCCGGCACCTGTCTTCGAGAACTGTGAGTGATGAGGCATTAATCCATGCGAAGTCAAGATTCCATAGCAAACCAAATGTCCGTTGGTTGGAAGAGAGGAGACAATGAGTTTTATGATTAGATTTTTACTGTTTCTGGGAATCAATGAGATGAAATCGGTCCATATAGATTCAAGGATTCGTGATCAGAAGCCGATACCATTGTTAAATAATATTGAACAGGAATTCTTCATTCACTAATATTTGACGGCCACGACGGCCACCCATTTGCTAATTACTTGAGACTTGAGAAATATTTAAGATAGTCCATAATTCGGCTAAAAAAAATATGCAGTCCAATATATATATAAACATATATTTTAAGACAAGTTAACAAATGTACAGTACAAAGCTATAAAATTATAACATTACAATACAATCGGAGAGAGAAGCTAAATTTAGTGTTAGGATTTCTTTGGATGGGTGGATTTGAATTGTGAATTTAGATTTAAAATTTCATATTTAAAATTTTATATTTAAAATTTATAAATTCTAAATTTTTTATTTAAATGATATAAAATTTTTTTAATTATAATATTAAAATACTTTATTTAGATCTTAAATAAAATCTCAAATTTCAAGTTTTATGTTTGAATTCAAAGGCAACTTGGACGATGTCAATGATCTGGTCTAGATTAAGGGTGGTGACCCAGTCTTTGTTGACTTCGATTGTCCAAACTTAGATGACGTTAGTGGTCTAGTCTTGAATGGCAATAGTGGTCCAATCTTGGTTAACAATGGTGGTTTAATCCCAAACAACGCTTCGAGATTAGCATAGGATAATTACAACAGTCCAAGGGTTACGGATTGGACCTGGATGATAACACTAGAACATCCCCTGTTAACGATGATGTTTGGCGCCAAACAACGAAGGCAAACAAATCAAAGACAGTGATCACAGACCAATCCTGGATAGCGATGGTGGTGGATCAACACATGTTGCATGTGATGGATCGACAACAAATTGATTGTAGCAAATCGTCACCTAATGATGGCATTGGACTAGCATTGAATGATAATGATGACAGGAAACTTCCATTAGGTGATAAAGGAGGGTGATATTTCTTAGCTTTGGCAGTCAAGTCTTGGTTGGCCTAACTGTTTGGTCTTGGTCACAACTGGCAGTCCAATTTAGGTCATAGCCAGCCGTTTGGTCTTGATCATAGTCAATTGTCTAGTCTTGATTGGCGCTAACGATTCGGTCCCGATCACAGTCGACGATTGGTCCCAATCATAGCTGGTAGTTTGTTTGCAAATCTTCGTCAACGATTCAATCGCTATTGGTGTCATTCATGTGATTCCAGTTAAAGTCAACCATTTGATCCCAATAAGCGCCGGTTATCTAGTCCCTATTAGTGTTGGTCATTAAGTCTCACTCAAAAGCAGCTCTTTGATCCTTATCATAGTCTACAGTCTGGGTTGATGCTGGCAGTTCAATCCTTAGTTGGCATTGGATGTCTAATTTTGATTGGTGACATTGGTGCGATCCCAGCCAAAGTTGGCTATCTAATCTTGGTAGGAGCCAGCGATTCTGTCCTTGGCAATGTTGGTCGTTAGGTCCCATTCAATGTCGACAGTCCAATCCTAATTGATGCCAGCATTCCTGTCTCAATTATCACCTTCGCTCTAATCCCTATCGACATTAGCAATCCGATCCCAATCAATGCTAGTGGTTTAGTCTCGATAGATGTTTGCTAGAAGCAACAATGTTAAAGTTGAGAGTCTAGTGAAGTCAACAAACAAATGAAAGGGAAGAGAGAAACTTCCATTGAAATAGAAATAATAAGAGTTTAAAAAAAATTAAAATTATAAAAGAATTGAGGTAGGATTTGAATTTTGGTTAAATTTAAATCCATAAGTTTTTAATTACCCAATCAATGAATTTAACTAAAATTTAAATCCACATGCATCTAAACATAATATAAAAGAAATCCCTTTGAACAGCTTGTAAAAGATAGTGTCGAAATTTATGGAGGAAATGATTAATATCTAGGATGATTTTGTTAGATTTGAGGTTTGTGAATGCTTCAATAGAAAAATATGACTTATAAATGCAATTGATTTGCACGGCATCATGCCAAAATTAAAAGAGTTTGATCTTGGGATAAATCATAACAATAACGAATTTGATTGCATATAAATCTAATCACTTAAAGTTGAGAATAACTATTTTTTATTTTTTTTAATCAACTAAGGTTGAATTTAATGAAATGGACTAATTTCTTGTAATGTTGATAGATTAAGATTTATATTTTTGTTAAAAGAAATGCCTATAAAAAAAACAGGATTATGTCTAATAAAAAAACATGTATGCACATTAAAAAATTATTATTACTCTCTCTATTAAAAAATATAAAGTATTTTTAATTAAATTTAATCTTTCAATAAAGTAATTATCTATTTTCAAACTAACCATATCTTTTCAAATTTATTCCCATTAAATACTTTATAATAAATATAAAGTCACTATCAATAGAGACACTTTTAAAAAAAAAATAATGATTACACTTCAAAAAATTAAAAATATCTTATATTTTTTAATATCTTACTTTTCAAAAAATACCTCAAATTTTTTAATGAAGGGATTATTTTTTTAACAGACCCCCTTGCTAGTGTTTGCCTCTTCAAATAAACTCTTAAAAAGTATCCTAACGTAACAAGACAACGTTTAGGCCAAAGCAGGTCTAGGTCTGTTAAAAGTATTTTTGGCTTTTTAAAAATCATAAGTTTCGCGGCATTCTTTTCGCGTCTAAGCATTTTTGATTTTACCATGCAAGGTCGTTGAGAGAAATTTGGAGCGAGTCCAACATCAAACTCAAAAAGCTTTTGATTATACCATAGAGAGAGAAACAAGAAGATTAAAAATAGTAGCGACGGTTTTATGTTTTCTCCTTCGTCCCATCTCTCCTTTCCGTGCCGTCCTACTCTCTCTGTCCAACGATCAAATTTCATGCCAATGCCATATAATGTATCAGAATCAGACAAATGCCACTCCTTACAGCTCTTGTTGCCAATTCTAAGCCTCACGATGTAACACAAGAAGAAAGGTAGACAAGTGAAGCATTCTCATTGCCTGTGTTCTTCGGTTTCCTCAATCTCGTTCCAGAATTCCCTTCCTCTATCTCGTCTACCGTAATTAATTCATTCGTATACCTCTATATCGGCTTTCAGGAGTTGCATTGTTCATTACGATTCCTCTGAATTTATCTTAGCTCGTTGTTTAGGTTAAGTTCATCTTATATCGCATGGCTTGGTTTTCCTAACAATTGTTTTTCGTGGCTCTTAGCGGTCTATGTCGTTTCCTTCTGCATGACTGGTTGAAATAGATTTGGATTAGAGAATAGAATCTAAAGATATACGGAGTCGGGGGAAGAAAGGAAGATGGGATCTGCATTGGGAATTGGAATACGAATGAGGAAATCGCTAGCTTCTCTAACCAGGACATGTTACAGATTTGTTTCTTGTCATCCATGCCTTGTGAGTTTTCTGGGATTCTTGATTTTTCTGTGCAGACGGTTTCCTTTTGTGTTTTCCATTTTGGTATCTGTGTCCCCTGTTCTGGTCTGCACTGGTGTTCTTCTTGGTACCCTTCTGTTTTTTGGGCAATTCAGCTTGCCCGAAGTTGAGAAAGAAAAGAAGTCTACCGACAACGTTTCATCCTTTCAAGCTCGATTTTCACAGAGTACCACTGTTATTGCCCGAAGAGATGACTATACAAGTATTGCAGAGGAGAGAAGCATTGAAGAAACAAGTTGGGTGAAAGATAAGGTAAACGGGGCTGATCAAAATGATGGTTTACTTTCTTTAAATGTGCCAGCGTTTGACAAAAGCTCTCTGACTATCCAACATGAGAAACAAGTAAAGAAGGAAATGGAGAGGGAAGTTCACGAGGAGAAATTGAAGGCTAAAGGTGTTCCAAGAAATGCGGAAGCTGTTAATGAGGAGGGGTCATCGGAGCTAGGGTCTGATGATATTGAGAGCTCCTCCCCAGATGCTTCCATGGCTGACATAATTCCAGTGCTTGATGAGCTCCACCCGCTACTAGACATGGAAGGCCCACAAACTGCTCATTCGTCCCGTGGCGGTTCTGCCATTGAATATGAAAAGTCGCTGAAAAGCGATGAAGGCAGTGTTGAATCAGATGAAGGCACTGAAATCGCGGATTACGAGGAAGAAGAAGCAGAAGAAAGTGGCATAGAGGATGAAAGTAAATCAGCAATCAGGTGGACGGAGGATGACCAAAAGAATCTCATGGATTTGGGTTCTTTAGAGCTGGAAAGAAACCAGCGTTTGGAGAATATCATAGCAAGGAGAAGAGCTTGGAGGCAGATGACTGAGAAGAATCTAATAGACTTGGAAACTATTGAAGTTCCCTCCAATGTTCCCCCCATTGTAACCAGACGCAATCCATTTGATCTCCCTGATGATTCTTATGACGATACAGGGCTACCCCCGATTCCTGGATCAGCTCCATCTATTTTACATCCTAGAAGGAATCCTTTTGATATTCCTTTTGATCCCAATGAAGAAAAACCTGTCCCCAGGGGAGACAGTCCTAAAGAAGAGTTCCCTGTGTTTAATCAGAAAGATACATTTTTCCGCAGGCACGAAAGCTTCAGTTTGGGACCATCTGTCCTGGGGATGACTAAGCATGAGAGACAAGATATTTATTGGAAACCCGTCTTTGTGTCGGAGCAAATGGCTTCAGAGGGAACAAGCTATTCCACATTCCAGAGGCAACTAAGTGAAGTAAGTGATTCAAAATTGAGTTTTGTTCCCGAAACTGAATCAGTGACTTCAACTGACCAAGAAGAAAGGATGTCTAATGAACAAGATTTGACTCAAGAAGCAGAATCATTATGCACCATAGATCATGTTTCTGGTCGTTTTGAATGTGGAAGCCAATCCTCCAGCGAGGTTGATTCCATGGCGATAATACCAGCAAAGCAGAGAAATGTTCAACTTGAAGAAGTTGAAATAGCGTTGGGTGGGGTGGAAAATAATTCTGAGGCCGAACTCTGTTCAGATACAGGAGAGGCTGCAACTCACGGCGAATACAATATAGGTGAAACACATTTGAGAAGAGTAGTTGATGAGGAGAGCAGCAGCAAATCAAGCCAGTCTTCTATATCAGAAGTGATTGACGACGTACCCGATGTTATACAGGAAAAATCAGCTAGTGTGCAGCTAGAAGAAAAAAACCACCTTCAGGAGTCTAGAATTATGACACAGGCTTCAGTGGAGGACTCGGATTTGCAGTATGAAAGTAGTGAAGTTGAAGAACATCAACACAAGGAACCTGTTTATGACTCAAGCCCACCAGTTGCTAGAAAGCTTCAGTCTTTTTATTCTATATATTTTGATTCAGCTACAGATTTTTTCGAAAGAACTGCTCCAGCTTCAGCAGAAACGGCTGAAAATGTGACCGATGAAAAATCTGAACTGCATGATCAGAGAGAAAATAATAAAACTTGTGGTCATGCAGGAGATCACTCAGCCTCTTCACAGCCACATATGGAGCAGGGTGATGCGGAACTTCACCAAGATTTGGATAAGAAGGCTGGTACTATAACTTCCAATTGTCAATATGTGCGATCTGAAGAAAAACCTCCCTCTGGCCTGGAGAAAAACCTGTCAAGCTCAGATAAATCAGTCGCTACAGCATCGATTAAGGATCATAATGAAAAACGGGTAAGACTTCCCTTGACAATTATACTTTCATTAATATAAATTAATACTACCACTTGGAACTTCGTTTGATTTAAATTTATTCTTCAGTTCCATGTGACAGAGTTTGTCCATCTTTACCTCGCACTTATATCAGCTTATGTATCTATTCTCAGTTATTACTAATGAAATCGACGAGTTTGCTACTTGCTGTTGGTTAGAATATCATAGAAGTGTCCCTCTTGTGTAACTTCTCACTGAAGACCCACCCTTCAAGAATAGGAATTTTTACGCAAATAGATGTCAAATATAATGCTTAGTGTTGATGTGAAATTCCTGTTCCATCACTCGACTTGAGGCTTTTTTTTATTTTTATTCCTCACTAGTAAATATTCATGTAACAAATTCATCGTCTGAAATTGCATGCGCATGCTAGATGCAAACCACCTTATTCCATTCTCTGTGTTAGCATCTAATGAACGTCAACAGCTCTGCCAGCATTTAATTGGTGAACTTTAAGTTTACTTACTGATCCATGATTGGGAATCTAATTATATCTTCTTTTGACATTGTTCAAAATCATGTCATCTACGTAAAATACATTCAGGATGCAAGCACTTCCAACAGTGGAGCTGGAGAATTTTATGATGCCATGAACAAATTTGATCGAAGTATCTCATCTTTGAGTAATGATTCATCCGAGACTCGGACTCCTGAATTTAAATCCCCTGCTAGTGGATCACCAAAAGATAAAAAGAGGGCAGAGGTTGAGCAGGGCTTTCCGGATCTTGAAGTAAGATCAACTGAAGATATTAGCTTGGCTTTTAAACATATGGAAGAAGAAGCAGATGCTGAGGAGGTCATCCTTCCATCTATGATTGAAGATCAGCTTGCTAGAGAAAAGTCTGAAGGTAACTCAGAAGCTAATTCTTACTTGAAAGTTATCGAAGCAAGATCTTTGGATGATATTAATGTTGCTTTTGAGTGAACCGCGAAAGGTAATAAAGAAAAGCTTCCAATATCATCGGAATTGAAGGATAGAATAGTGAAAGAAGCAAATGAAGAGGGAGAATTTTTGCATGTAGAACCAAATAATCATGAAATTAATGTAATCCCCATGAACAAATCAGAAAAAATACGCAGTAGCACCTCCAATAATGAGGCAACAACTCGAAGTAAGCGATAGAGTTCTAGTTCCAGCTCTTGCTCAAGTGACTCTGATTGACACAGGTTTCACTTTGAGCAACATTGTTCCGCAATTCAAACAGTTCAGGGTAAGGAGAGGTGGTCAGATTTTTCTCTCTGTTTTTTATTTTGATACATCGTTTTCTTCAAGATAGTTAATTCTATTTTTAATAATTAGTAGTTACTCTTTTGTTTTAAAAGTATCTTCATTATTTGTTTAAAAAAATTACAATTACAATTCATACTTTCATAGAACAGTGTAGCTTAAATATTTCAGATCCGGGTCGCATGAAATGAATTTCGTGCAATGAATGGGAAATGAGAGGATGCTAGCCATTTATTTTATGTAATGGTTGGAGAGAAAGAAGTGCACAAAAAGCTTTTTATCTATAAAGCACACAAACATTTTTTTATGATAAAAAATATTTCATAATTTAAATCCCAAAAAACTTACTTCACAGTATATGTAGAGAGTGGATTCTATCTAATAAAAAATTCTTCTTTATTTTTTATTTAAACTATAAAAATCTTACTTCACAATTTAAATCCTAAAAAAACTTTGAAAAATTAGGTTTTAAAGAATATGCAAAAAGTTTGCATGCTATGAAAAAAAATAAAATTTTTTGTACACCTCTCTCTTTCTGACCATTAAATAAAATGAATGGTTAAAATTCTCTCACTTCCCGTCCATCGTACAAGATTTAGTCCATGTGATCTAAATCATAAATCTTTCTAGGGAGATTTATTTTAATCATATGATATATTTTATTTTTAATTTTATTGTATATTTCATGAACAATAATATTTTTTGCCCGATATGTAATTATCTTTTACACTATTATTGTTTATCTTTTACAATATTAAAGAAACAATGAAGCTCGTTAGTTATAAGTTATAAAGTCTAAAAATTTATGTTTTAGAGCTTTTTTTATTTTATTTTATAAAAAATCAATTTTTTTAAAATATTTTGAGTTTTTATAATGCTTATTTAAAATTTTAAAATTAATATGACTCCCAAAAAACATATTTTTAATTATCTTAAAAAATCACTTTGAACATATTCAGAAAATAATCTGACTCAATAAATAAAAGAGAGAGTTTTAAAAATGTGTGATATGCAAAAATATTATAAAATTATAAAAATAATTAAATATTAAATCATTTTATAAAAAAATTAAGAAAAATATCATAGAATTTAAAAATACTCCCCCATTTAAATAAAAGTATTTTTAATTAAATCTCACTCCTAATAAAGTAGTTACTTATCTTCAAACTAATACTATTTTTTTATATTTACCCCTATTTAACAAGATATTTCACTCTAAAATACATTTAAAAAAGTAATAATTACACCTTAGAATACTAAAAGTGCTTTATATTTTTTAATAGAAAGAATAACTAATTTATAATTAATTTTTTATTATCTTAACTAAACATAAAATAATATTTATTTTTTATAAAATCTTTACAACATAATTTTTTTCATACAAATTTTAAATTATCTAAAAATCACTTACTTTTAATATTAAATAAACAAGCTCTTAGATGATTTTGATAAAATCACGATTAGTCAAAAAATTTTCTCCTCATCGTCTTGCATTAGTGATAAGAAGATACTAAAAACATTTCAAAAATCACAGTATAGGTTGATGCAATAAAAATCACTGTATTTTACTCCCCTCATGTCCCTTTCCCCAAGTTCTTTCAGGCAACATTTTCTGCACTTTTTGTTAATTAAATTATCAAATTATTTACCTCAGTTTAATTTTTCATGTCATTAATTTTGCCAATAACTTATAATTATATCATTCATTTTAAAGATAAACGAGCACATTACCCTCCAAACTTTAAATCCAATGGCACAATAAACTATGAAGTCATTTATTGTATAAATCATTTTCTCAACTTTTGAAAATAGTACAAGCAGGGAAAAATATATGGTTGTAAAATTTATATAGGGCTGAAATACTAGTATAAGCAGGAAAAAATATATTTAGATTGTTTTAGATGAAGATTGATGATTTTATGCAAGTGATTTCCCCCTTGATTTTGTAAATCATAGGGTTGAATAGTGAATTTATGATATATGCATGTTGATTTAGTTGTGTTGTGTTGCATGAGGCTTAAATAGTTCATGGAGTGTGGTTTAGAGATTAGTATAGACTTTTGGCACATAGATGATAATTTGGGCACCATAGTTGTGAATTTCATGAAAAAGGAGTAAAATTGGTAATAGGTTTCCAACTTTTAATAGAAAAATAATTTAGTTGTGAAACTTATGCCATTAGCTAAAATTAGAAGAAAACTCTCTGTAAACACTTAGATCACCTCAATCGGATGTTAGACAAAAAAATAAGACACGTCAAAAATTCATCCTTGGTGTTATCATTTGACAACAAAATAATGTCAAATTCATGTAATGTGTCGTGACGTATGGCACTTCATACCACAGCACATGGCATAGAGGCAATACACTGTTGTGCATGAGTGTTATGTGTGGCACATTAGCCATTTTGACAGACAACGAATTCTCATTTTTTTGCAAATGCTTTTACCTATTTTGGAATCCTATACTTCCGCACATATTTTAAAATCTAATTTAGAATATTGAAAGCGTATGGAAGTATTTTAAATGTTAAAAACTTAGGATCCCATTTATATGCTTTGACAAATTTAATTAATTACTTACTTTGGTGATTGGGGAGGATTAGTAAGGATAACCTTATTGGTCTCTCCCTAGATTTTACAATGCGCATTCAAACTAGGTTCAACATATACACTAGTAATCCACATCAATTTACTGGATTTAAGATTAGTCACTTTAAGATGAATATATTGAGTAGACGAACTTAATTACTAAATAGAAAAAGAATCATCATTCTAGAGCATCCAAATACCCCCAGTATATCCAGTAGCCTCAACCTTGATCCAATAAGAAAAACCTAATCTAGCACATATTCTATTTGCCTTAACCTTACTTATATGAGTTTTAATCGAGATAGAAAAATTTATAACTTTTCCTTTCAACAAATCTCTAAATCGTCTCACAAAATTTTTTGAGGCCATGCCTTTACAATTCCATGATAACAAGTTCATAAAAAGATAAGAAAAAAGAGAGCACACCCATTAATTAGGCAAGAGAATCAGGAATAACTTCACCTTCCTCCTCCTCTAAAGTAGTCTCCACATAAACTTCATCATGTGTCTCATACCACTGATCCGAAGATTCCATTAAACTAGTATCACTAAATTTATTTACACATCGACTCAAGGGGTCAGGTGGTTTAAGAGATTTTTCCAATCCATCCTTTAAACGTCGATTCTAGGAATTTTTTAGGATAGCAGAAGAGTTGGGTTTCAAAGCTATAAAACTACCTTCCGCTTCCCTTACCTTAATAAAAAATTTTTCATCCCCCTCCTTTAGTCTCTAGTCCAGTTTGCCCATTTTTCTAATTGACCCACTAGCAAAAGAATGGATCCTCCCTAATTGCATTCTTTTTAAGCTTAAGGAAGTAATTTTAGGCCACATACTCTTATTTCTTTTTTTTTTCCTCTTCCTTTCACCTCTTCCTTTAAAACTTTACTGTCTTCTGAGCCTAATATTTTATCCATTTCCAAAGTTGCCAAAATTTGGCTACATCCTAAATTTTTAATTTAATGTCATGTTGATGGATTGGAGATCATAATAATATTAATTTAATTCATTATTTGCATGCCAAGATATTTCTACTTTTCCAACTGTATTGATGAGCATCTACCAAGCACAATTAGTACCACTATGCAGATCCTAGTTTATGTTTGGTTTTCAGTTTACATGTAATAAAAGTTCATTTGGAGGATCCAACAATTTGTTAGATTTGACAAAAGTACATCACAAATGTGATTTACATGTACTTTTGAGGGTTATTCAAACAAGCCCTTAATTTACACGATTCATATTTAAAAAATATTATTTTTTGTTTTTATTAAAATAAAAATTAATTTTTTTGTTTGGATGGTTTAATTAAATGTTAAATATTTTTATAATTTTTATAAATTGGTTATTCAAATATATTTTGAATAGTCTAGATAATATTAAATTTTTTAGAATTTTATAAATTTTTTGTAAATATAATATTAAAAATAAGGGAAAATTTCAATAAAGATTCCTTGACCATGCTTATTTAAATTTAAAGCTTCCAAATTTTTGAAATTATGGTGCAATCCGAGGGTACTAATTTAATATTAAATTTTTTTAAAAAAATGATAAAATTACCCCTCATTTAAATTAATATTATAACTTTACTTATTCATTTTCCTACTTCACTTGCTAATTTGCTTACAGAATATTGTTAATTACCTTACTTAATTTATTTTCACTTTAAGTGTTAAAATCATTTTAAAATTATTATACTATATATTATTTATTTATTTACGAACTGTTGTTTATTACCCTACTTCACTTGTTCATTATTAGAATTTTACTTGATTTCATTCTAGGAAACTGAACAAGTAAAGTAGGATAATTAACAATATTCTATAAGAAAATGAAAAGTGAAGAAGTGAAATTCTAATATTAATTTAAATGATGGACAATTTTTTCATTTTTTTCATAAATTTAATATTAAATTAGTACTCTTGGATTGCAATGAAATTTCAAAAATTTAGGATTAAATAAGTTTAATCAAGGGATCTTTATTGAAATTCTCCCTAAAAATAAAGATAATTTCTAAATTGGCACTTCCTAAAAATATTTTTTTAGAAAAAATTACATACAGAGTACATCTGAATAGTCAATTTATAAAAATTTTAAAAAAATAATATTAAATTAGAAAATTATAATTAAATATATGTTTTTAGGATTGATAATAAAACATATTTACTAAAATTTTTATTTAAATAAAAATAAAAAAAATAAAAACGTTGAAATTTAGACCATTCAAATTAAAAAATTGAACAATCTAGATCTAAGCGTCTGATGAGCACCCGGTGCTTAACACCGAAATTGGCTCCATTCTTATAAGGAATTACATGCAGAACATTGATATTTTAATTGTACGGCATAAGGGATTGAAACTAATTATATTATAGAATTAGAGCTTACA